TGACCACTCTGTTGTTTAAAATGTTTCACATAAGTTCCAGTTTCTGCTTTCAGCTAGAAACACATTAGAACTTATATTCTGTGATACCCATCATTATGTGATACTCGAATCATTATTTATTGTGTGAGTTAAGCCTTCATTTTCAGGCAACGTGCTCCTGATGGGCAAAACAAAGACTCCAGAACAGTTCTCTTAAGTATGAGAAAACAACAAAAAACATGCAAATCTATTGCAGTGTTTCCTTGGTTGTCCCTGTTGCATATCGGTCTTGGGGCTCGTACCGAGCAGGAGACGCCACACGGTGTTTCTTCTGTCTCTGTGAAGCACTTTTGATGCTCCAAAGCACTGACATTCCTACAAAAGGAGGCCTCATTTCTTCTTCCTTGCCCTTGGATCTTGTGTGATTTCTTTCATGTCTCCATTGGCCTGTCGTAGCCAGTTAGATTCTTCTCCACTCCTTTTTGTTCATCAGGTGTCTGCGTTTTCCCTTTTGAAGGTGTCTCTTGATTTTTCTTTTGAAACCAAACGATGCTCCTTTTCCATGAGCTCATGGACTGTTGTGGACGTGCTACCAACCTGAGTATCACAATATTCCTTTTTGATTATTTTTAAAAACAAATGAGAAGGGATATTGTTAAGGATACTCAATAACTTTTTATTCTAAAACACAGATATACCATTTTTCATTTGGAAATACTTCATTTTCTCAATTATCCAACTTTTGCTCGGCTTGCTCAGGTCAAAAAGGGTGAATGTTCCTGGCTGAGGAATTCCAGGCAAGCAGAAGGAGCTGCTGTGTCACATTTGCTTGCACTCTGCAGACAGGAAATACAGGGCAGAGCAGAACTATTTTTTAATGTGTGAATACAGTAAAGAGCTAATAATTTTTGGTTACAGAGAATGCAGTGTTGTAAAGGTATTTGTAAAAATGACTTGAGCCCTCTGATCGCTAGCTGCAGTCGGTGTCCGTTCTTGCTTAGCAGAATAGGGGTGTGCAGGGAAACAAGGGGCACTTTGTGCCCTGACCGGGGGCAGCACTTTAAGCTCGGGGCTATTTACACATTTCCTGCAGTGTCACTGTGGCCTCCCCTTCTGGCGGTGATTTTCGGTGCGCTGCGTAACTGCTGCGTTCGGCATCGAGGTGGCACCTGTATGGTCTTTGGGACCTTCGCTTTGCCTTGCGGGAGACAAAACTGCCTTGGGAAACCCAAAGTTTGTGGAGAAGGCTGAAAAGCTAAAGCAGGGACTTGGAGGAAGGACAGGAGAGCAGCAGCAGGGGTGAGGATACAGTGGGACTAGAGTGATTTCCATACCCCTTCACCCCAAAGAAATGTCCCTTGCTGTTGCCGACTCCAGTGTTTCTCAGACCCCAGCAAACCGTTCACTAATGGGCTGCCTTGAGGGGGCTGCCCTTCCGCGTTTCGGAGCACTCGGATTTCCGAGCTGCGCTGCCTGTTATTGTGGAGACGCATTCAGGCCCTGAGCTGGCAGTTATATGTTTGTACGAGCACAGACACTGGGGCATCCCTCTTCAGGGGCACGTGTGCGTTATTAAGCAGGGCGAGTGCTGTGTGCTCAGTGTCTGTGTATTCCCGGGTGGAGAGATGTGCTCCAAATGCCCCTGGCTGTCGTGTCCGCGGGAGTGGGATGCCGCCAGTCGGGCACTGCTGCCCCGTTGTCCTGCTTAATGCACCAGACAGAAGCTTTCTCTCTGGTCAGGGCTAGGCTTGGGAAGTGCTTTCTGTCTTATGATAGACTTAAATGCAGCCCCTTAAATCTTTTCAAAAGAGCTGGCACATCATCTGCTTTATTGGAGCTTCTAATGGATTTGAACCTTAATCACGCAAGCTGCATGACAGGTTGTGGCCGCACAGAGAGCAATCCAGACCTGTATATCTATGGCAGCTGGAAAAGGTTTTATGTGCAACCTCACTGAAATCTTTATTTTTTTTTCTTCTCAAACCATCACAGCTGGAGGCCGGTATTTTATTCTGCCTTTCCTGTAGCAAGCGGGACTGGCCTGGCCACTGCGAGCACCTGCTTGGGACACGGAGCTCCGCGTCCCTGCCGCCTCCTGGGAGCACCTCGGACATCGGCACAGGCCTCTTGCCTCTGCTTTAGCTGAAACACGTTTTTCCCTACCACTGTTGCAATTGCCTGCAACGTCAGGGTTTTTATCAATGCTGCTCTTTACTAACTGATGAAAGGAAGGAGTTGAATAGTTTCTTGAGTTCATATAAGTACACTGAAAGAAATTTCATTTGAAATAAATTGAGTATTTAATAAATTGGTAAAGGTCTTCAAAGATGAGTTCATAGCAATGCAAGGTGAAATGGCTGATACAAGCTGGCATATAAAAATAAAGAAAGTAGAGGAGTTTTTGAGACGAAGTTATGGTGAACAGAAAAATCTCTTATTCCTACTCTTCTCACTTGCTCACAGACTGCTATCATAGTTCACTTTTTGTGTTATGGTCAGGCAGTCAGATATGTTTTTCCAGCTATGCAAAGTGCATGGATATATCTTAATATTTAGTATGATCACATCTATTGCAATTCCTACAAATAAGGGCTGTCAGCCCAGAACTGAGTTGTACTTGCTGCTATACAGGCTTCAGTATTGAGACTGACTTGTTTGAGATAAACATCTCAGTGTTCCCATCTTCAATCAGAAATTTTAAACTAAAGCGATAAAAAATATAAGAAGTGGTGCTTTTTCTTGTGCAGGGATCAGAAAATTACCTTACAGAGTGCCCGCTATGCTGCTCGGCCAGCACGTGGGCAGTGTTTGGGCTCTCCTTTCAGCCAAGGCAGTCGCTGCTCGGTGCGACGTGCAGGCGAAGGGCTCATGCAGGCTGGGATTGACTCGTATTATATCATATTGAGGAGCAGCCTGGGCGGCCTTGCAGAATCACCTCCTGTGGCTGAGACTGCCTTGCAGCCCCAAACAGGTCAGTGTTCAAACAGGCACCCCTGCAAGCCAGGGCTCTGCTGCCAGCAGCGGGGTCTGCTTCTGTGAAGCTGCCTTACGGAGCTGCCATCAGATCCAGAGGATTTGAAAATGTGCATATGTGTATAGGAGCTTGTGCACTTGGGGTTTTTGCTCTGTTTCATCCTGTACTCATGATCTCCACAGCCAGCCTCCACGTGTGGCGTTGGCATCTGTCCGCGGTGTGATGGGCTCTGCATTTTGTTCTCAGACGCCTTCCAGGACATACAAAACTAAGAGGAAAAGCATGTGGTGGGAGAGCACATGGGTGATGAGCAGTGTCTGCTCCTTCAGATGCCAGCAGAGCCGCTCGGCTCCAGGCTTCCAGCACCAGGTTATGGTTTGCTCCTCTTGCACCATATCCTGGGAGAAGCCCCTGCGCACAGCTGTATATTGCATGTGTTTCGTAGCCTGCTTTTTAATTTATTATTTGGAGACTGTGCTTCCTTGTTTCCTGATTACTTTTTGCTGCAATTGAACTGTTGTTGTCCATAAAGTAATAAAAGTGATGATCAGCAGCTCCATTTTTCTTTTTCAAAGTGCTTAAAGGTGCTGTAACTGCTTGCTTAGCACTTGCTCTGTCTTTGTAGCCCCCAGTCGCTTCTTTTATCCCCTCCAACTGCTTGAACCAGTGGACTGGAGGACAAACTGTAATCTTAGGACTAGAATATTTAACCTTAGGACTAGAATATTTGACCATATAAGTAAAAATCTCCCTTTTCTGAACTTCTTTTCTGGTCTGCTTTTGCCTGTTAACATCAGGGCACTGAGTTTGGGTGCTCCCCACCTTTGGTGAGGGAAGAAGTGCTGCTGTTGCGTCTCTGCTAGCGCCTCATTTTGTAGCTGACAGTTAAGTATTGCACTAGAGTGGGGAAGAAAGGCCAGGCAGGCTCGGAGCCCCGTGAGGAGGTGTCCGGGGTGCTGCGGCAGCGGGGCCTGGCGGGACCCCGCGCTGCCCTGGCCGCCCTGTTCCTCCCTCGTCCTTTTGGCACTGTGTTCTGGCCTCACGCTCACACTACCAGCTTCCCCTCATTCTATTGCGAGACGTATGATTGTTTAATTCTCTCTTTTTCTATCCATCTGCTTAAATCTCTAATGGTGGAATAATCTTGGCGCTCGTTCCTCTGAAGGAAGCTGCTAGCCTGCTCTATTGAGGCAGAGTGCTGCTGAGAGAAAGCTCAGAAGGAAGGCAAACAAAAGGCCTATGTTGTATTATTTTGATCATGTCATTTCTAATCCAGTCTTGCCGTACAGGAGTTGGCCATGCCATGCAATAATATTCTGGCTCTCCACTGGAACTCATTTGAGAGCGGCCATGCAGGACAGTGGCATCAGGTGCTCTGTGAGAGGAGAGGAGGCACCGCAAAACTCGGGTGCTGCTGATGGCCTGTGAGGGGCCCGAACAAGGCATCACACCATGACAATATCTAATTTCCTCTCTGATAACCTGCTTTATTTGCCTTCTGCTTGTACGTGCTGTTATCATTTCACCTCCTCGTGTGGTTTTTGTGTTGCCCTATTGAGTAGCTTTTAGCAGCGTGGCTTGGGCTGCTGTGTTTGCAGCTGGCAGGGAGGTACTTGCACAACTGCACTCCATTTACCAGGAGGGCCCATTCGGGGCAAGCTGTGTAATACCCTGAGTGAATGTGATGTGCCCTGGCCTTTGACAAAGAGATGATCTTGGATCTAAGGTTGTCAGCCGGGATTTAAATACTGTAAGAGATTGCTGTGCGGTGCCTGCAGCTGGGCTTTGTATGCCCGTGCCTGTAAGGAAATGAAGGGATTCTTTGAAAGCAGAGAGAGACCTTTTTTCCTTACAATTTTGGCTTTGACTAAATGGATCTAATCTGAAAAGTCAGATCATTTCTCTGCTAAATTCTGCAGAATTTTCTGCTAGACACAGACTTGATGAAATTAGGAAACGGATATTTTGAAGATATTCAGTGACTGTGACAGGGGTGAACATTCTCTTTGCTATATTGTGGTTTATAGTGCTGTGAATTTGTTTTCAGGGCTCAGCAGATTCGTACACAAGCAGGCCCTCGGATTCTGATGTCTCTTTGGAAGAAGACAGGGAAGCAATCCGCCAAGAGAGAGAACAGCAAGCCGCTATACAGCTTGAGAGAGCAAAGGTGTGTGCTGCTTTTCCACTGCAACAATGAACAATTTACGTAGCATTTAGCACTTGCATGGTGTTAAAATTTACTTCTGGTTTATAATGAAATAGTTTGGGAATCAGGTGAAATTTTCTGCAAGCAAATCTTTGAGGGTAGTGGAAATACTCCCAGGGACAAGACACTGTCTAAAACAAATTCTGTTAACTGAAGCTCTGATGAAACTAGTAGGATCGCATTATATAAATGAGAGCAGAACTGTTCCCTTGCATGGGATAGGGAGTGAAAAAGAACACGTTTCTACTACATTAGTATCACTAGACTGGTGTGAACATGGATTCCCTCAAGGTGCTTGCTCTGTGAACGGGCAGTGAAGGGGCTGGGTGGTGTTTGCAGCACTGCTGTGTGCTGAAGGGATGTTTCATCTGTGCTGCTGCTCATCCATCTGCTCAAGTGAAAGGTGGACCCTTTGGTGCTTTGCTTTTGTTTCAGCAGGATGTCTGGGCTGCCTCAGCCCCCTGAGGAATTGGGCTGCACGTTTTCCAGTTTTGTTCCCGTAGCGTCAGACGTAGCGATACCGGTCCTTTAGTTTAGACCATCTAAAAGCTGAAGCTTTTAGAAGCTCTGCTGCTTCTATGAAGTTGTTACAACTCAGTTGGCATGTTTGGCAAGTGGCCTCTCCTAGATTTTGAGTAACTTAATACAACAAATTATTTCTTCCTTCAGAAAAATAAAATACTTCACTTTTCTACCATGTTTGTGATGTCTGTTTTTATTTATAGTCCAAACCAGTAGCATTTGCTGTTAAGACTAATGTAAGTTACTGCGGAGCCCTGGATGAAGATGTTCCTGTCCCAAGCACTGCTATCTCTTTTGATGCCAAGGATTTTCTACATATTAAGGAGGTAAAAACAGGAAGTAGATTTTCCCTTTTCCCTTGCCAGGAGCTACAATTTGAGCAGTCAAATCTGAGGAATACCAGATAAAGAAGAGCTGAGTGGAGGCAGCGGAGCAGAGCACATCTGCCTGATTAGTAATGCTGTGGTGTCACGTCATCCTTGTTAGAGTGCCAGCACCCTGGGCCTTTTATCTCGTGTTATTGAATATTACCATTTCTTGGTGGATTTTTGTGGAGGAGAATTCCATCTTGATAGATTTTAAATCCCATTCACCATGGTAGATGCAGATTTTTTCATTAAATCATGTTGTGATGGATCCGAAACTAGGCAGGAGGAAGGGATTGACCAGAATGTGCCGTAACACCAGTTTACACCATGTCTTCGTAAAGCACCACGTAGCCCTGTAAGAGAGAAAAAAATGAGGCTGAGAATAACACCATAAGGAAAGAAAATATTGAAGAGGCCCTAGGACAAAAAAGATACAAAATTAAGGAAAAGGAATAAATGAGCGCTGAGCATGGGGCTAGGAGTTGATAGAGAAATACGTGTTTTATTGCATGTTGAGCATATTTACTTCAACTGTAATTGAAGAAAATTATAATGTCTAAAGTGAGCTCTCCAAATTTGCATAATCCTCTGTTGTTTTCCAGGTTTATATATAGACTTGCAGCTTGCAAAATAACATTTTTCAACTCTGCATTCTATATGTAGATTTTCAAGTGTTCAATACGAATTTGTTTTTTTCTTTGACCATTTTTACACTGTTCTTCAAAGCACTGGAAGAAATCACTTGCCTCTTTATCACTAGAGGCAGAGACTGGTGGTAGAGCAGGAGCTTTTGATTTACGTGCTTTCTCCCCCAAAAGGATGTAGGAGAGACAGTTGATTCCCTCATTACGTTTGCTTTTTTTTTTCCTAGAAACAGGTGAAAGTTTAATATTTTTCCTGTTTGTGGGAAGTGGTGCTGGCACCCCTGCTGAGGAAGCGGAGCACTGTGGAACTGGAAGCTGTCTTTAGCTGCGTGTAGGCTTGGTTTTCTCCTCCCTTAGTTCCCTACGAACATTCCCTGTTCTTCCCAGCACCACAGCTTGGTCGCGCTCGTCGTAGCCCTCCTTCTAAACCCCCTTCCCATACTGGTCCTTTGCTGGCCCTCACGTGGGCACTTCCATTTCTTGTGCCATCTCCGACTTGCCGGCGTTACTCCTCTGTGCTAAGGGCTTCCCTCTTAACACTGAGACTTTCAGTTGCATGAGGCTCTGGCTCCAGCTCCGTGTGTTTTCAGGAATGGCTCCCCGGGCTGGAGTTTCTGTGGGCACGGAAGAGGCTTTGCAGTTTTTGAGTGATCCATCAGCCTTCTGTGGACTAGAGCAAATTCCCAATTCTAGAATAGCACTAAACTAGGTGGAAGTAAGGTCACCCCAGGGGCAAAATGAAGCATCGGCAGTATCTGATGAGTTTCTGTATTCAGAGTGTGTCCTGTACATCTCATGTGTCTCCTGCAAGGCTATACATCAGGCACTCCCTGAAAAGATGAAGTGGCAACAATTACTGACAAAGCCCTAGAAATCAGAGGCATGGCAACCAGCAGGAGTGAACTGTGGTCCTCCCACACGCTGGATGCAAAGAATGATGTAGGGGAGGTGATGACCCGATGGAAACATTCCCGCTCCTCTTACTGCATCTCTCTCGTTTTGTTGTGCAGATAGTCTCAGCATAACCCTGATTCTGGGCTCAGGTACAGAAGTGTAAATCAGATGTCCGTGACTTCCTAATAGAAGGAGGGTTTGTGTTCAAGCCCTTCATTTAGAAACAAAATTTAACTGGTAATTCTGGTGTGACTCAGTTTTTACACTTGTTTAAATTCACTGATTTCAGTTGTTTACAAGAGCAGAGTGCTAGATCCTGTAAAGTGATGAAGCACGTGAAGCATTTAAAGAGTGTGAACGTACTGCTTAGTATGTTACAAAAGCAATATTTTAAATATTAAGCTCTCTGCATTGACATTATGTGGATCAGGATTATAATAACATGAAAGATATATTAAAAAGCCAACACTCATAGACTAAAAACGTAGCATCCAAGTAGTTCAGCTGCTTCTGGGCAGTAACATAAGAAATAGACTGTGTGTAGAGGGGTGGCACAACCCTCCATTTAGTGCTAGCGTCATGTTAAGCAGTTGGTCAGGCCCATCAAACTGTTTTCTGGTTGTAAAGGAGGCATCAACCTTTCTAATACTGGCTGACACCTTTTAACTTTGTTTAACACAAATTGATGGCTTCTCAGCCTTCAGTGAGAGTCTGATTTCATGAACTAGCGTGGAGTTAAAGATTGTACCTAATGAAATCAGGGAGCTTAGGACATGGAATGTTTTGAGCTGAAGCCAGTAACCTCTCTGTGTTCCAGAAATACAATAACGACTGGTGGATAGGAAGGCTGGTTAAAGAGGGCTGCGAGATCGGCTTTATTCCGAGCCCACTTAGACTGGAGAATATCCGCATTCAGCAGGAGCAGAAGAGAGGACGTTTCCATGGAGGGTAAGAATGCTGTAACCTTTTAAAGTAATTTAAAATCATTTCTGACACTGGTCAATAATTTCAAAGGTCACTTGCTTCTTTTTTATTGCATTGTATTTGGATGAGTGTTTGATTTGGGATTCCAAACGAAAAAACATATTTGCAGAGCACAGACACACAAATGGCTATGAGTAACAAGAAAAAAATGTCTGTTGGCTTTAGGAAAGATGAATTACACAGTGTAAGTAGTAACAACAGAAGTTCCTGACAGTCTTGAGAGTTTAAGTCCTTACAGGGTTTAGCCATGTTGATGCTCAAAATCTGCTAGTGCTTTCTCTGATTCGTGTGTTCTTAAGGTTGCGGGGTTTTTTTCCATTTTGGCTAAAACCAAACCTTTTGGATTTCATAGAGGCAAGCTTAGTGATTCTGCTTGTCTTACTCTTCATCTCCTAACTTGTCTTTTTTTTGTACCCCGTCGCTAGAGGTGGAAATTGCAAGTCCCTTGATAAATATAACCTCAGGCATAGGTCTAGAGTGCAAAACAGAGTTTCTCCTAATTTCAGTTTGGATTTTGAAGTCTCTCTTTCATAGGCCGAGCACACACAATGCATTTTACTACTGGCATATTATCCCTGCTAGTTGAAAACAGAATTTAAATGTTTTGCCCTACTGGCTAGCAGGAAGAGGAGCATAATTTAGCCTGTCTAGTACTGCCAGGGAATTGGCATACTAATATACCTAATCAAGGTCAGGAATCGTTATAAGGATAAACCATCTGGGGAAGTATTCTTAGAATGATTGAACGCTGCTTTATCTAAATTGCTTTTACAGTTTTTGAAATGGCTTCAGAGGAAATCAGTGTATCCCACTGTATGGAAAGAGGGCCATCTCGTTCAAAGATGTGCACTAGAGGGGATTTATGGTACTGTTTCAGATATGGCATGTTAGGAGACAGTTCTCTGCTTGTGTGAACCTCTGCTGTATCAACATCCTGGCTAGATTTTATAATTGCGCATCTCACCTGTGGAGTATATTGGGAATAAAATTAAGTATGAAGGAGAGGAGAGGAATAATGTAATAGACAAATATATTAAGATTTTCTGTAATTTATACTAATAGTCCTGCATCTGTATGATAGCACTGAAAGCAATTCATAAGTCATGAATAGGATTTTTTGTTACATAAAACCATTTAGGATCTGTATCTTAAGAATTCTTTGAAGGCTTTGAGTAGCTGTAGTAATCAGGCTGTCCGTGATCACAAAGAATTCCAGCTTTCTCTGACAAAAACAGTGAACATTTTCTGTTAACGGGGGTTTCCTGAGTCTTGGTATTTGGAAACTACTGTTAGTTATTTGCAATATCATGTGTGTTACAGTTGTGTCTGTACGTTTGTGAACGATCTGGATGAGGGCACTGATTCATCCAAACGTTTTTCCTTCTTTGGTTTCCCACACAAGCCGGTCGCTGCTCCAGGCCGCCCAAGCAGTTCTGTTTGGGTGCGAGGCACAAGACGAGGAGGGAAGGGAATGGGCTGGATGAGTGGGGAAGGGAATGGGCTGGATGAGTGGCCAGAGGACAGTGGTGGAGGAAGGAAAAAGGAGCTATTTACACTGATATTGCTACACAGGAAGAATTATTTAGAACAATAGTTAATATCCCAAACCTCCAAAGGGACCTAGTCACATATGCTGCTAGGACCCCATATGTCACTGGCATTATGCGTGGGTGGCCTTGTGCAGAGCTGGATTGTGTCCTGTGTGTGATGAGTTTAGCAGATGTCTGTGACTGGAAATGACACCTTTTCCAGCCTGTGAGCAGGTGGCCGGAAATCTTTGCTTAGTCTGTAGCAGAACCTGCTCTCCCTTCACAGCCTTCATTTGCAGCTCTTGTAGACGTGCAGGTCTATCTAGTCCCCAGTGCCTTGGGTTCCATCCATCCCTGCGTGGTGCCCCTCATCTCTCACCTCAGGAGAGCCTCCTCGTAACCAGATGGGGGTGAAGACCCCCACCTTTACTCTTTTAATGCCTGGTGGGTGAGTGGCTGATGCCTGATACCTCACAAGTTAACGGGGCTCTTTCTGATGCCATAGGAAATCAAGTGGGAATTCGTCTTCGAGCCTCGGAGAAATGGTTTCTGGCACATTTCGAGCCACACCCACTTCTACTGGTAAGGCAGGATGTTATTTAAGGAAATTCTTGCTATTTCTAAGCACTTTATTTTAAAAGTTGTGTGTGAAAAATGTGGGCTTTCCCCCCTTTGCAGACATATTAAAATATTCCACTGAAAAGTGCTTGTGTCGGGGGGTGGAGGAAAAAGACATTGATTTTTCAGTGCGTAGTAACTACTAAGGGATTGGGGAAAAAAATGGAGAAAAGTGGCAGCTTCACCCAAAATCAAGTAAGTGACTGATTAAAATAGAGTTGGTCAGAAGGGAGAGGCAGTGAGAGAAGTCGACAGTTCATAACCAAAAGATTTTTTGCAAGAATAATTTTTATTATGTACATTATATGTAACCAAATTCTCATTTGATCTTTTAGCAAAGCAGAAACAAAAAGTGGTAAGTATTTTTGTTTTCATTTTAATTATTTCTTTTTATTAATTGTAGTACATAGTTTCTAGGATTTTCATCTCAAGTTGGAAGAAAAAATAATGGGATCTAATAGAATGTTTTCTTCTAGACAGAACATGTTCCCCCATATGATGTAGTACCATCAATGAGGCCTGTTGTTTTAGTGGGTCCGTCACTGAAAGGATATGAGGTATGTATTCCAAGTATTTGCAATTAATTAACATATTTTATCCATGGTTAGTCATACTCTGTTTAATTTGTGGTATTGATTTATAGCAGTTTTAATTGATTTGAGCTAATGTAATAATCAGAATATTATATACAAGGCCTAGGAGCATAGCTAGGAGCACAGCAGAACAGAATCAGCCCCTTGTTTGTGATGCCCAAGCTGAACAGTAGGTAACACCAGGACTCTCTCTGCAGTTGCAATTCTTGTAACACGATGGGCTTCTGTGATTTTCAGTCCTGGGCATTTGGTCCTGGTTAAATCAGTAAGAAAAGAGAATCGAGGTCCATTACAGGGGGGAAAAAAAAAGAAAAAAGCTACAAGAGTCAAATTAACTAGACTCCCATATATAAATACAGTGGTAGTTAAACTAGCCCATGCATTGAATGTTTAAAAGCTCATTGTTCTCTCATTATATCATTTATGAAAGTTTTACATCTCCCTATAAAACTTGGTATATCAAGTACCTAGACAGTTCCAGGATAGTCACTTTTATTCCCCAGTATCAATATTTTGGAACTGCTTGTTATCACTTCAGCATTTTTTCTTGTCTTTTTTCTAAATAGTATTACTATATCAGAATGTACAGACAAGGAAGCCTTCAGTCCAAAGATCATTTAATACTTGCTAAACATGAACTTAGGCTTTATGCAGGACATTTTGGTGAATACCTGCATTTAACCACCTATTAAGTGCTTTGCTGAATTAGAATCTAAAATAACATTAAAACTAAATTAACATAAAATCAAAGACACAGTTCATTTAGTTTAATTAATTTTATCTGTGCTTTATAGGATATAGTTAAATGTGTTGGAATGGTTTTTAAGGTAATGAGTCCTAGGAAGATTGCAGAATGGTACTATTATTAGAGTAATGCGGTGTTCTTGCATCAGATTTTTTGTCAAGAGTGATTAAATGTGTAGTTTAGCAAAGCAGGAATTGCAAATTTCATTTTCTACTATCTGCCTTTTATGGTGATGTGTCTCGAAAGAAGCAAATTCCATCCATTGATTTTCATAGTGCTGCACCGTGGATTAAGTTACCCTAGGGATTTTCAAATTTGGGGGAAAAGGGGCTCTTTGTTAATACATGCCCTACATGTATATGTCTACAAATACCCCCTGCATAAGAAAACACACTAAATATGCCATTTTGGACATACAGTAGTGCATAAAGTACCCTTTTAAATGGTAATGGATTTGGTATATTAATTTTAATTTTAAATAGTGATCTGTGTAGCAGAGACCTGATCTTGCTTTGCAACATACATGGGAAATTTCTTTTGTCTTTTTTTTTTTCTGACTAAATTCTGTAAGAAGCACTTTAAAAAAAATGCACAGGAGAAATAAGCTGCCAGAAGCCTCTGGGCTTTGACTGAGTTCCTGTCTAGACTGGTGGATAATAGATGTCACCCTGAGTTGTACCAAAAGGGACAAAGAGTTCACTCAGGAAAGTAGATTACAGCTCTTGGTGCCAAGCATCTCTCAGGTGTTTCCCCTTGTATAGGAATAAAAACATCCTTTTTTCTTTGCTTGTGGGCCTCACTGAGATTATTTCTGCTGTTGTTAGAACAATATCAAACAAGATGGATTTTGTATCTGAAGTTCTAAGCCAGTTCTAATAATGTAACTGGAGGGGAAAAACAAATGATCTCCTCTACCTGAATATTCCCCTAAATTTCTGGCATGTACTCAAGCTGATGGATATGATGCTGTGATGGAAAATTATGAGGAGTGTTCTAATATCTCAGTGCAAATGAAGAAGAGTATCAGGAGTGACAACCCTCACATCCTCTGTTCAGCATTTTAGAGAATGAGTCAGAAAATTTGCAAGTATTTATTAAAAAGCATGCTGCTAAGATCATGGAAACTGAATGACTGCTGCCTATAGAAGGTATTGCTTGTTGGCAGAATCCTTATCTTTTACCTCTTTTCTTACTTTTGGCTTCTTTTTCTTCCTGTCAATTCTTCCTGTTCAATCTCCCTCACCTCTGCAAAGGTGACAGACATGATGCAGAAAGCTCTCTTTGACTTCCTGAAGCACAGGTTTGATGGGAGGTGAGAACTACTGTCCTTTTCATGCCTTTTCCCCCATGTATTAATAACATTTTTTAGAATTCTTTAACGCAAGAAGATTGATGCATGCTTAAAACTGATTCATCAGCTTTGTATCAACACTGAAATGCAGCCAATTCTGGGGTAAAACACAATGTATGTATTTTAAAAAGTGCACATATCTTCATATCTGCTCTGGCTGTAGAAGGATTTTTAGGTTTGTCTGAATAATTTTACCTCAGTATCTTTATCAGACTGAAAGTATAGAAGATATCCAGATGAGATGTGATTAGAACACCAGGAAAGGACCATCCTGTCTTTAAGGGTGGCATTGGGAGGCTCAGGCTTTTCATGCTGCCCGACAGCATCCGGAGCATTGGGTGCCCCTTGGCAGGACTCTTGTGTCCAGCTGGGACTCAGAGCAACGGTGCCTCCTAGGTCCTGGCCTGTTCCTGGCCCCCGTACCTGCAGAGTTCTCAGGTCTCTGCAGTGCACCAGAGCTGATTGCACAGGGTTAACTTCACAAATGGATAAACTTTCCAAGAGCTTCCCAGTTCCTTCTGGGGATGTCATGGACCAGCTGAGAAAGTAAAGCATGACTAATTGCAAATACAGCTGCAGCTTTATTTGCAGCTCTATGGACATAAAAAAAAAAAAAAAAAAAAAAAAAAAAAAAAAAACCTTAAGCATTGATTCAGTTGTGTGTTGCTGCACTATCTCGGTGAACTGCTGCAGCCTACAGATACCAAATAATAAATGTCTTCTGATTTTATTCTCAAGCTGCTCTGACTGGGCGAAGGTCACCCCAGTACCTTTTGTCAAGTTCCAGGCTCTGCTACAGGCTGTTCTCTAAATAAAGCTAATCACACTCCAATCCTGAAATAAGTGTCAGAAGCGGAGCAGGTTTCAGCGCTGTGCAGAAATGATACCTCAGACCAATTCGTAAGAAAATCAGCTTTTAATTCATAAGTTCTTGCTAGTCAAAAATATTTTAAAAGGCAACTTTGAAGGAAACGCTAAAAACTAAAATGTAGGTGAAATATGTCAGACTGTAAGAAGCAGTAAGGAGAAATCAATCTGTTAAGCTGGAACAAAGCAAAAAAAAATCTCAAGGAAGTGCAAGAAGGGATAAATGTTTGGATGTCTTCATGAAGAACACGTGCTTGGTCCTCATTTTCTCTCCCTTTCCACGGGAACTTGTTGACCATTGTAGGCATCGGCTGCATCTTGGGTTTTGCTGCCTTTTCATCCTGGTTTGTTCAGTGCATTGCAACTGCGTAGAGAAGCTTGTACTGCTGATACATGCGAGTAAATCAGGCATGAATCTGTATCTACATCTGGAATGTTGTATCTAAAACATTGGTCCTCAGACAATGAAATAATATTGTCTGTTGTCCAGAAGAGCTGGAGTAGGACTTGCAGGTAAAGTAGCTTTTGGGTGCAATAAAGAAATACTGAAATAACCCATGAACTAACAAAACCGCCAATAACGGGCAGCATTGCAAGATATCTCGTCCCTTCCCCAATCTGTAGTTGCCCAGTTGAGGTGATTTTGGCCAGCTCTACAAAAGCAGTGACTGATTCAAGAGCAGACGGGTGAAGTCTGCACTGTATGTGCAGCTCAGTTTGCCCTTTCTCCAGGCTGTCCCTGCATCCTGTGGGTACAGGCTCCTCCCCTGCTCCCCAGCAGCCTGGCGTCCCCCAGGGGACAAGAGGGGCTGCCAAGGGGGCTGGCACAGCCCTGTGGCCGTGCAGCTGCTGATAACTAGATCAGGCAGAAGCATGGATTTAGCCACGGAAGAGTTAAATGCCGCAAGCAAGCTGATACAATTGGTTTTAAATCTGAATGACTTCAGAAAAATGAGTTCAGTTCCGTTCTAGGAACTTCAGCTGCTTCTTGATCTTCCTGCCAGTTTTTATGGCTTTGCAGGTTTTTCCCCCTCTTTCTTTCTTTGTATTTGTTTTTCTCCCCTTTCCGCTGCAGTTTTGTAACATGCACATTTCTATTAAGGGCAATGAGTGCCCAGGGATGAGCTTCTCAAAAGACCTCTTCAGCAGGACTTAAGCTCACAGGACCCCTTCCCATCTCTCAGTGTGCTTGATCTCTGTGAACTCCTCCTTTGCCATCTGCAGGAAGAATATAAGAAGACACAGGCTGGATTTATTATCGTTCCTCTCTTGTACTTTGACTCCCAAGTCCTTTTTAACCCATATTTTTGGCCTCCACTGTATCCTCTGCAGCAAACTTATGTATTATGTGGAAAAAATGTGTCTGCTCTTTTTAGCCCTCTATGTGATAATTTCTTCACATCATTTAGGGCTGCCAAAACCTCGCATTGTGAGGAATGGCTGCCAGTCATGGCTTTCTCCTCATTATTCATGGCTCTCTGGATCCCATTGCAGTCCTCAGTGGATTTTATGTGAAGTGAATGTGCATTCTTTGTTTTATAATCCGATTTAAAGGGAAATACTCAGGCATGGAGGCCTGGAATTGCTTTGTTCCCAGCCCTGATCCTGATGCACAAGGTCTAGGAAGGTGCTTACCTTGGGTCTCTTGTCAGCGCCCTGACAGACTGGAAAACACTACCTGCCCCAAGCTAAAGAGGAAGCTGCAGCAGTACAAAGAGTTGTAGCTCAGCGTGCTTCTCTCCTCGCCAACCTTGAGTGACTCCTGGGCGCTCAGAAATGAGACACGGGCTACTCAGATGCCCAAATGCTCCTTCCTTGCCTGTCAGAATGCAGCTCATAAACCGTTTGGGAGAAGGGGAGTGATAACCCTTGTGACTCCTGTTGTTCGGTAAACTCTGAGACTCACTTTAACCTGTGATATTTATGGTACTTTGTAAATTCCTGTTGGGGACGGGTAAAATTAACTCACAATATTAACTAAGATAGCAGTAACTGTGCAAGAGTCTACAATAACATAGACCATAGAAGTGGGATAGCAAATGTGGCCCAGCTCCGTGGCATTCTCTTTGGTTGTACTTTAATGCTGCTGTAACCGAGCCCTGAAGCATGCCTGAGCAGTACTGTGCTGTATCTGCATTCCGGAGTGGGATGCACAGTGCCATGGAAATGTGACTACTGTGTTTTGTTCTGTCCTGTGTTCTTACTCATAGGATATCAATAACTAGAGTGACAGCTGACATTTCTCTTGCTAAGAGGTCTGTTCTAAATAATCCAAGCAAGAGGGCAATAATTGAACGGTCAAATACAAGATCCAGTTTAGGTAAGACATTGACACAGGTACAATTCTGAATACAGTTCCATACTGGGAGAGAGTGGCAGGATGTCAGCCTTAAAGATGACATATCAGTTCTTCAATTCTAAATGCATCTTACAGGATTTTTATAATGCTGCATTTCATGTACACTGTTGGGAGACAAAATTTATCTGTGTAATGGCCTGTTAGCCTCACGCTCATGTTAAGCAATTACAAGGACTAGAACAAGCAGTTTTGTAGCTGTTACCTGCAAAAGGTGAGTTAGCGCCTGTAGTCAGGAGAGGGAAATAGGGAGTTCAGTGCTTTCTGCTAGGGTGATGTGGTCTCACAGCTGCTTGTTCTCTGACTGAGGCTCTGGACTTTGCACCAGCAGCTGCTGCAGAGCCCTCACCCTGCCAATCTGGGAAGGAAACATTTCTGTTTCTGAGCCAGGGTCTGGTTTTCTAGTTCACACTGAGTAACTGCTTAAAATTCCAGTCTCACTGAGGGAGGAGAAACTGGGGTGTTGGTCTTCCCGCTCCCTCCTCACTGCCATGATGGCTGGGCTGCGCTGGCCTGATGAATTTCACTTGCTTTATTTTTTTTTCCAGTAGAGGTGGAATCTGTGTCATGTATTTGCACATGGGACAAATGTCATAGGAGGTAAAAGGAGTTGGATTTGAATCTCCTCAGGAAGGAAAGACACTTAAACCCAGCCTTTGACGTTCTCAGGGAGTGTTTGAGTGGTGGAACTAGATACCTTTTTAGGCTATGGAAACGTGGACCTGGCTCAGCTTTTAGGAGAAGGAGCCCAGCAGTTTAGCTGCAACCGGGGCCCCGAATGCTGCCCGAGTGACTGTCCTCCAAGAAGTGATAGGAGAGAGGTTCCAGCGCTGCTGGCTCAGCTGGAAGGCAAATTCCCTCTTCTGTGCCCTGTGGGAATGCCGTATTCCCTCCCTCTCTATATGGGATAGGAGGTTGGATGTGCCACTCATAGCTGTCATGCTATGAATGGGAATCATGGGAATCAGCCACCCCAAAATTAGGTGGTGCAAAGGTGAGAGCAGTATCCACTAGACCTTGTCCCTTTGGACATATGCACCTCTGTGGGAAATCTGCGTAGGGATAGACTTAGAGTGGTGTTTCTGTTAAATCACTAATACTGCCAAGAGGACAAATTTAAGCTTAGAAATAATCCTTATAGGGACCTGTTAGGGGGGACTTCAAAACACTAAGGTGTTAGGTCTTAGCCAAAGACTTAAGGGAAATTTTAATAAGTAGTCATGTGCTTGAGATCTTTTTGGAACAGCACTCAGGCAAATGAAGCGCATCTGAACTGTTGACATGCAGCTTTCTTGAATGTTGTTGGTAAAACTTAGTGGCTTTAATTTGTGCTGACTTTATCCTTTTAAAATTCCTCACATTGATGTGCATGATTAAGAAGGATCAGAACAATGAATATCAGAAATGGCACTTACGTGGGAGTAAGTTTCTTTCTTTTCTTTGTATAAAAACGTTTAGATGTGAGCATAGCCATTAGTGTCTTTTTAAATAATATTCTACCAGTTTTTATTGTAAGTTATTTAGAAGATTTGGAAAATACACTTGGGTATATTTTGTTTTACTTGAAACATATATTTAATTGTACCAAATGGCTTGGTGACATTTATCTTATAAGTCAGTATATAACTACATATTTTCAGGTAGCAGAATGTTCTCCAAGATAATAGCATTGAGTAATAGATTGTTTTGTGGAAGTTACAGTAATTCATAAATGGAGTTCATAAACTGAACATACACAGCGTAAATGGATGACTTTATTTTTGTCTAAATAATGCTCAATTTGAATGACTTGGACACGTTTTTTCTCTCTCACTAGCTGAAGTACAGAGCGAAATCGAAAGAATCTTTGAGCTGGCCAGGTCCCTACAGCTGGTTGTGCTGGACGCAGACACGATCAACCACCCTGCACAACTAATCAAGACATCTCTAGCACCAATTATTGTCCATGTTAAAGTGTCTTCTCCAAAGGTAAAGCATCTCACCCTTGAATATGTGCATCCCAGAGGCAGAATTGGTTCTTTTTCCTTTCCAGCAATAGCTGCAATACAAGAAGCTTGAAGCTCAGAGCCTTCTGCAGCTTTATCACTACTGCTTTAGACCTCCAGCAGTGCATTTACTGATGAGCTAGATCTGTCATGTGTAGTTCATTTCTTTCCTCCCGTTTTCTCCTCTGGAGAGGAAGGAGGAGTTAGTCATGTAACTGTTGTTCTTCAAAGCTGCTTTTGAGTTCTTAACTAATACTGCATTAAGCCCAGGGAAGATGCTAATCAACACTTGGCAGTCCCTACCTTTCCTTGAAGTGGGTGTTGAGTTTCCTCACTTTATCCTCTTTGTGAGCTCGCTTTCTCATATGGAGAGACAACTTCAAAAGGAGGAGTTCAGTCCAGGCCATCGTGGTTAGTTCACACTACTAGCCATTACACCGAATGTTTCAGAGCCCTTGTCAGTCCTTTAATGGAGGAAACCTACTTCTCGAAAGACATGAAAACCAATTAAGTCATTTTTATTTCCTTAAGATTCTTGCCTCCCCAGGGGAGGATCCAGCACAAACTGAACTGCAGCAGCAAAAGCATCTGGAAACTAATGCACCTTGCCAAGGGCGAGGGGTTTCTTCCCAGTGCTCCCTGGTCACAGCGCGGTGTCCCGCTGGTTGCAGATGTCCACTAGCCTAGCTGGCCAGAGCTTCACTTGGCCACCCTAGCACCAGGGTCACCGCTGCTCTGCTTGCTGCCTGGGCAGCAGCCACCAAAAAGCACATGCCGAAAGGGAGTATCTTGCCTGCCCTGGGACATGGGTGCTTTCTCACCACAATATGTGGATGTACCTTGCCCTTTTCTGTATTAAAAGTTTCATCTTTAACATAATACATAAATACATCTTAAGATCCTTTAAAGCTGAGGTTACATTAATGTATTACAAGTCTCTTACTAGCCAAAGGAAATCCAGTAGGGCTAAGAAGTCTTAACAGTGTTCACTGGTGCAAAGGTATCTGCCTGTTTTCCAAACAATATCTGTCTGGCAAAATGATTTGATGAAATTCCCACGGAGTTCATGTTAGGAAAGAACTTTGCTATATTGCAAATTATTGCAAAACCTTTCTTTTTTTTTTTTTTTTTTTATGTTCAAATTTGAGCACTAATGCTCAAAAAAAAGGTTTTGCACTAATTTATATATATATTTTTATATATATATATGTATATATATATAAAAAAATGATGGCTATGGATGTATTTTTTTACAGAATAATTTGCCTCAGATCTTTCACTGTTTTTTTCATCTTTCCAGGAAGGCAAGAAGTAAAGGGATTTGCTTATTTTTTAAGAATAAGAATAAAGGCCAGCTTCTCAAAAATGAATATTACAGTGAGTTGCCCCATGATCTTGTCTGCTGCTAGAGATTTGGCTTACATTTTGTTAAAGAACCTCTGCCCTATAAGGGCCTTTATTGAATATATAACATCTAGTCTAGATTCACCCGATAGTTTGTGGATTCAGCTGGTGCTTGGGTGGGCAGTGTGGTAGTGAGCAGGGCACTGAGAGAGAAGAGGATGGATGTGCTAGGGCTGAGCCTCGGCTGCAGGAAGCTCCACACGCTCCCTTCTCTACCCCAACCCTCAGCTTGGCCCTAGGCTGAGCTTTAGGCAGGGCAGCCAGCATTTCCATGGATGAAAAATTCCTCGGGAGCAAAACCTTGCTGCCCTGCAGAGCCTGCGGGAGCAGCCACAGCCCAGCAGGTGACAGGGGGGACCCCCAGCCAGGTCGTGGTGCAGTGTCCAGCAGGCGCTGGAGAGGCAGCTGTTGGAGGAGCGAGAGCTCCCTGGGGCTGGGAAGGTCCAGGGCAGCCTTGGCTGCAGCAGCCTGGAGCTCGTGGAGTTGAAGATCCTGAGAGAAGTGAGCAAAACAAGTAACTGCTCTGCAGCCCAGGGCTCCCACACAGGCTTCTCCAGGGAGTTGTTCGGCAGGATCCCTTAGGGGTCTGTTCAGGACAGCCAGGAAGCTCAGGAGAGTTGGGACCTCTAGAGGTCCCTCCAGGTTAAAAGTACTTGGTTGTTCTGTGATCCTGTAAATTTAGAGAGCTTACGTAGAAATAAGGCTGAAATCCTGTTTTTTCCCACCTCTTAAATTTGAGAAATCAACATAAGGGAAGAAAAAATACTGAGGTAATATGACCTGTGTGTGTTAAAATGATTTCTCTACTCAGTACATACCTGTGAACAGATTGAGTCACTGCATTATTGCTACGCAGCATAACGTGCTCTTACTGTTGTGCTGCAGTCAATACAGTGTAATTCTCTGATTTTCACAGTCCTCTAGAAGATTACATTTGTCAAAAATAACCTATTACTTAAAGTGAAATCAAGCAGAGTCACTCGTTGTATTGCATTTGAATCTGTTGCAGAGAGAAATGTGCACAGCTTTCGGGGTATGTATTTACCAGAAATACATTTTTGCTTATACCATTTTATTAAATGTAATAGTCTTGGCTCCAGTAGCATGTCTATCTCTGAAAACTTTCTGGAGATGTGTGATCCTTGGACTTACATTTTCCTGTGTTCCTCTCTCAGGTTTTGCAGCGACTGATTAAATCCAGAGGGAAGTCCCAAAGTAAACACCTGAATGTGCAGTTGGTGGCAGCTGATAAACTTGCGCAGTGCCCACCAGTAAGTACAGAAGAAAGGCTAAAGAGCTTGGAGTACGTGGAGTGTTCAAGATACCTGCTGTGTTGGTCCGTGATTGCAGCTGAGTTCACATGTTATCACTTCACTCTGTGGTGATTCAGCCTGCCCTGCAACCCTAGATCAGCTTTTATTGCTAAGAAAGGAAAAGACGTTTGAAACCTTTGCGCTGATAATCGGCCAGCTGAGCAAAGCGTCAGCTCCAGCGTGGCGGGTACCGCTGGTGGCAGAGGGGCCGCGGCCCACGCTGGGAGCAGGGCTGCACAGAGCCTGGGGCTGCTGCTGCAAAGGGGCCCAGCTCTGCCCCGGCAGTGCTTTGGAGCTGAGCTCTGCTCCAACGGCTCCTTGGAGCCTCTCTCCTGGCCTCCTGGCAGCTCCTTGGAGCAGCTCGTGGCAGCCCCCGCCTCCTCCAGCCGCCGCTCCAGGTGAGCAGCTGCCTAAGGAGCAAGGGCCTGGCCAGGTGGCTGAGCCCTCAGGTGCTGTGTGGAAAAACATGCGGGTGTTTGGAGAAGGCAGCACAAAGTTGCTTTTATCTTTGAAAGGCAAGCACAGAGTAGTTTGCAGAATTTCAGGACGCCAAGTAGGATCCCGGGCTGATTCTGTCTGATTAAAAAGTGCTGTCAGAAGGAATGGCTTGGAGGGCTCCAGGAATGAGTTCGAGAGGTGAGATCAGCAAAACAGATGCCCAACCCTTAATGGTCAGATAATGCTTAGAAGCAGACTTTGTTTTCCATTATAAAGACCTTAAAGATAACACTGATGTTTCAAATGAAAGCTCTTTAATTCTTTTTATTCTGCAATAGCTTTTGTTTTTAACAGCTGTTCTGGAATAACTACCCACAAGGATTTATTTCCAAGAGACTGACTGCTTTTTGTGTACTTGTTAGACACCAAAAACTGCGCAGCCTCCTCCTCTCCTGTCCCCACTGACAGCGAGCTAACTGAGGCGTTTCTGGGCCGTGTATAGCAATGGAAGGTTTTCTTCTCTACCTGCTCTGCCTGGTGGGAGTTAAGGCCGAGCTGCATCTGCTGGAGCGCTCTGCAGTCCCTGAGACACCCAGAGCCAGTGCTGGTTAAAGTGGTGGTGCTCCATCCTATGGAAAATACCTGGAGAAACCTTAATCTTTGGCTCATCCTTCATTTAAATGGCCCTCTTGTCCCCCGGTCTAGCTGAGTCAAAATCAGCAGCTCTTAGGTTATTTCCTGCCATCAGGTGGCTCTCGCCTGGCCTCTCACCAGGACTGGACTTGCTGCCTCGTGGGTGCCCTCCCTTCCTCAGCAGCGTTGCCTCCTGCCTGCCGAGAGCAGCTCGGCCTCCCTCTGGAGCCTTAATTCTGGGATTTGGCTATGGAGCGGGATAATTTCAGATTAGTGCATCTGCTTTCTAAAAAAACTTTCAAGCTGCCTGAAACAGCTACTGGATTCGGGTAGTATCTGTCCTGCAGAGCAGTTTCTCCCCTCGCTTCTGAGGGCAGCGTCTGGTTACGGTAACCGTAGACGGCGTCGCTGGCGGCCCCTGCCCGTCCCTGCGAGCAGCACCGACAGGTTCCTGCCCGTCTCGAGTTCTGCTCGAGCTCGCTGTATTATGTTACTGGCACGTATTTTTTCCACTGGATTGTATCTCTTAAAGCGGAGCAGAGAATTCCCGTGAGCCATTCAGGTCCCGTTAACTGGAGCAGTATGGAATGTTTCTCTAGTGTGAAGTAATTCCTGTATATTCCATATATTCCGTAGTCCTTTCTGGCTTGTAATGGGCATGAGGCGAGTTAAAAGGAGTCTTGTCTGCACCTTGACCTGGGCTTGTGGTATTTACTTGTCGTGGTCATTGCAGGCTTACCTGGAGAGTGGCCTGCCTCCTGTTCCTCGTATTCCCAAGGTGTATTCTTTTTTCACCCACGTGAAGAAGCCAATGTACATTCTACCACCTTATTTGCCCTTGTGTATAGTGCTTTCCTGTTATCCCAGCCAGTTGGCTCGCCTAGGTTGAAACGAGGCCGGTGCTGGTGGTGGTTGAGGTGAGCAGCGGGTGCCAAGGAGCTCTTGCTTCTCGGTGGCATCACAGCACAGGCGTCGTCCACCCTGGTGTCTGGTGAAGCCCTCTTTGCTACCCGATCTGCTCTTGTGCTTTGTTGCCTAAGACAAAGCGAGGCCAACGTGGATAGGAACTTGAACCCCAAATCTCAGCGTCTCAATTTCAGACATTTAACCAAACTCCATCAGAGAGCAGTTTCTGCTCTCCAACTCGCAGCAGGTTTCTGCAGAAATCAAGCGGTTCCCCCTGGTGCTGCGGTTCAAGGAAGTCGTTGCTGAGCTTGGTGCTGCCAGGAGGTGACAGTCTGGCCCATTTGTATGAGCCCATGTTCTTACTAGTCTTGATTCTTCCTATTCTGGCCTGTGCGGTGTTGGGTCTTCTTCCACACAGGCCTGGTGGTATCTACAGAGCTTGGGAGCAGGGCAGCAGCCTCACCTCTCCTGTCCTTGGGAACGTAGCTGGTCCTCAACCAACCTGCAGCTTTTCCAACTATGGTTCAAATCAACTAGCAAAGTGTAACAAATGCAGTTTCGCTAGGAGCAGAACTCTTTAATGCAAGGGAAAAAATACATCGCTTCTCCGTAATTCTTTATTTTCTTGTAAAAACAGTAGCAAAACATGCAGAGCCCTGGAATCAAAATCCTGACAGTCTGCAGCTCTTCCAAGTGACCTTCAAATGGGAGTCTGAAGAGCTCAGTTACTGTGCCTGGTAGATTTTTATATATAATCTAAGTATCTTTTAAAAAGAAGGCAGCTCTGTTGCTGTTAAGGTTGTTAATACTCTCGGTGCAGCTGAGGTCTCTGCCCACGCGCCCCTCGTGTGAGCTGCATGGACGTGCGCTGCGTTCAGGAGTCTCCAAAGCAAAGTAATTGCAATGTACTTACCTCTCAGTTCACAACTGTAACTTTTTTAACTATCTTCCACCTGTTTCTCTATCAAACGGTGATGTGTGTGATGCAGCTGTGTAACGGAATGTGTAGCTTTATCAACATGGATTTAAAGAGCAAAACCAATGTGTGAAGCACAGAGATAGGAGCAGTAAACATGGAACTCAACCAGTATTACTCAGGTGAAGAGAACAGTCTTAGGACTGACTTAGAGAGGGTTATGGGTTTATTCAACCCACTGATCCTGTGTTGCTGGATGATAGTTCAGTAGTAGGACTCAGTTAAAAAAGAAGAAAAAAAAAAAAGGTTTTAATGTGACTATGTCCTGATTCTGTTATTTTTGGGGTCCCTTATAACTAGAAATAGACACAAACAGCTTTTAAAACTGGGATATGACTCTTCTTAGTACAAAACAAAGCGATCTTTTACGCAGAGAGCAGGTAAGAGCCAGCGCAGGGCTCCTCTAGTTCTGTTGCGGGTGGTGGTGGGAGGATTCTCGGTGGTGCTGAGGGTGAAGGAAGGGACGAGAGCCCGGGTGCAGAGAAGGGGACGTCTTGGGGCCGGCTGGTGGGGGAGAGGGAAGGGAAGGGGTAGGCTGGGCTTTGGGAAAAGGGAGATGCGAGATTCAGGTTTATGATAAGTCCGTTGTGTGGTTTTATATCTCATCTTAGGAACATCTTATCCTGGAACCCTCAGTTCTGTGTATACTGAGCAGATTTGTAACTGTGCACGGGGGGAAAACCAGTGTGTGGTTGTGTGGTTGGCACCAGCTGCTCTCGCACCTGCAGCACCTGCACTGCACATTTCCTGTGAAGTTTTCACAATAGATTTTTTTCCACCAAGATGAGAGTTAAGACTGAAGATGAGGTGCAGAGCTTCGCTGCTGAAAATATGTTTTTGTTTTTCTCAGTGGGACCAAATTTAGAAGTAATTAATTTGGAGGAAAAAAAAGAAAAAGAAAAAAGGGGGGAGAATTCCTTTTAGCGGGAGTTTCGTTAGTGTGTGCGTGGAAGGTGACACTGCCGGGCACCCGCAGAGCCCTGTTGTGCTGGCATCCATCACGGAGCAGAGCAGCCCCGGGATCCCGAGCCCTTCCCCTTGCGGGGGCCTCCTGGCTCCTGCAGAGGGATCAGCAGGGCGCCTTTGATCCCTTTTGAGACCCACTCAGCTCATTTCTCTGCAGTCCTGAAGCTCTAATCATTATTTGTTTCACTAGAAGGGATTCGCGTGGTGAGACCTGTGCACAATCCCTCTCCCCTGCAACCGTGCAATGACCCCCGCCCTTGCTGTTGTGCTCAGGAGATGTTTGACGTGATTCTGGACGAGAACCAGCTGGAGGACGCGTGCGAGCACCTGGCCGAGTACCTGGAGGCGTACTGGCGCGCCACGCACACCACGAGCAGCACGCCCATGACGCCGCTGCTGGGCCGCAGCCTGGGCTCCGCCGCGCTCTCGCCCTACCCCGCCGCCATCTCCGGGCTGCAGGTAGGAGCCCTTCCAGCCCCTGGGTGCTTGGTGGCGGGCGGGCAGCGCGGGGGCTTTGCAGAGCCCCCGTGGGCGCGCGCTGCGGGGCGCAGCGCCGCGTGGAGCCCCGCGCTCCCGCTCCGGCCCTCGTGGCGAGTAACCCGCCGTGGCCAGGAGAACGACGCGCTGCCAAAGGGTGTTGCAGCCGTGCTAGGAGACAGCGCGTTTTCTACTCTGGAAATAGCGTCGTTAGAAACTGAAACCGTTCGGTTTGAGAATAAGCATGTGCAAAACGTCACAGCAGTCGAGCTAACAGCTACTGCAGTTAAGGTCGTGGGACAGTTTCTGTAATAATCCCGTTTTTGCCCTCATAACTCCACAAAACATTCACTTTTGGGTGAAAAGTTCAGTGTTTGTGTGTTGTCTCGGCAAAACGCCTTCACTGTTTTCAGTTCGTTGAGTGTGAATGAAATACATTTTTTTATCCATTGAAAAAAATTCTGACCATTTTTTTCCACAGGGATAGCTCAAAAACGGCTGAACTTTGAAACTTCAAACGTGGCATGTAAATAGCCCTTAATGAGAAGTACGTGCTTTACTAAGTTTGAAAACAGAAAATGCTCTGGAAGCTGCACTTGGGGATGTTTGCAGAGCTCAGGCTCGCGCAGAGCAATCCGTGCAGCGGGGGGGCTCTGGAGGAGCGTGCGCCTCTGGGGTGCGCGCCAGCAGAGTGGAGCAGGTGCTTTTAATGAATGATTCACCTGACAGCTTAACCTCTGTTCTGATTATAGACAATCTGGAAGCAGGTAATGATCTTGGAGGAAATGTTTCAGTGTTTGCAATTAATATGAAGCTGTTCTTTTGCGAGCGAATTGCGCTTCGCGGGAGGTGCGTGACACTTGATACTCATGTTTCTAATGATGTGCTCGATTTTAGTAGGATCAGTGAGTCACGGTGTCCTGACTGGCTGAACGCACAAGCACTGTTCTGTTACCGATAACGTGCACGTGTAAAATGTTGTTTCCATTTTCACTTGCCTTTGAAATTTCAGTTTTCCATCCCGTCATGACAATAAAATCCCATCTGTAGACCTTTCACCTCTTCAGTTCCATTGTAAAAACTGGGTGTATCCACAGAATTTTTTTCAGGCATTTATTTATCTCTGATCAATGGACACCAGCAATGACTGTCAAATGTTGCTCCATTTACTTAGGGAAAACTCACACTGAAGATGAAAATCACCCCTGTGCAGTGGGCTGGCTGAAGGTATGCGGCACGTAACCCCGCTTCACCCGACTTGTGAAGACTTAGATGGGACTTGAGTGGTGCTAGTTCTCTGCAGAGGGGTAAATTTCACCCTGAGTGACCGATGCCCAACGCCAGGCAGCAGGACTTGGCGCTCGGAGCCGCTCGAGTGCTCGCGGCCACGCGAGGGGGCCCAGCCTTTACGTGGTGATCTTGCAGTTAAGACTTCCATCATCTGAAGAGCTTTCCCACCTAAAGGGTTTACACAAATTCAAGCCTTTGGAAGGATTTGCATCAGTTTTAAGCGTAATGTTGTGATATGGTGATTAAAGCACTCATGCAAATCCTAAGAATTAAACTATTTTGGGTGCTTATTATGTAGTAAGAACTTAGGCTGCTCATGACCTTATGACTCTTCTTCACCTTTGAGGAAGAATTTGGTTCAGTCCTTGGGAAACTGGATATCAAGAGCCTTGAAACAATGATATCTGAGAAAGATGCAGATGTACTGGGACGATCGATTCATATATGACGTATATATTCGTATATTCGTCGGGACTTGGGAAGAGCTTTCTTTTTTTAAATGCTTGTGGCTTGGAATTCTGTTTCCTGGGAATTGAACATGGTTTAACTTGAATCTTTGGCCGTCACGATGGTCATCAGGGTGAAGTTTAGTGGTGCAGACAGAGTCCCAGCTGCCTCCCGTCGCGCGCATTTGGCCACGGCCTCCCCTGGAAGGACACGGTGTCTCACAGGTCTCCAGAGGATGCATTTTCTCTCTGGCACCTTGGGACTATCGGTCAGTCCTTGTGGCTGGTCCCTGGCTAGGCCTAAACCCGCAAAGTTTAGTCTAATTCCAGGAACTAGACATGAATTCCCCATAGGAGTGCTGGGCTATGTGTTCCTTACCCCCCTGAGGGTTTTTTCTGGGAGGAAGGGCTGTGTTTTATGGCACAGAGGGTGCTGAGAGCTCGGAGGTTGTTCTGTGCCTGGCAGCGGGCTGAGGCCGCAGCCGTTGTGCAGGCGGGAGCAGCGAGAGAGCAGGGCTGCGGGCTGGAGGCAGCGCGGGAGAGCCGCGGGTTGCGCTTGGCGAGCTGCGTCGCGGGGCGGCAGCGCCTCTGCGCCCAGAAACCCCAACGAGCCGCAGGGTGACCACAACTCAGTGCCGAGGGCAGCTGTTTGTGAGGCAGACGCGGGGCCCTTGGCCGTAGGAAGGAATCCTGGCGTGCAGCCCGTGCCGAGCGTGGTGCCCGAGGGAGAGAGGGGTGAGAGGAGCCGCGCGGCCGCGGGCGGGCACAGGCAGACGGGCCCGGCCGCACGGTCCCTCCGCAGCCTGGTGGCGGGAGCCCTGCTCGGCGCAGGGCCGCGGCGGCGCTGGCCCCTGCGCAGCTGCACGGGGGCTGCAGAGGGGCCGCGCGGGCAGGGCTGGAGCCCCAGCTGACCCGTCCGCCTGGACGGGCACCCGAGGCCACAACACGCGCCCGTGGAGCAGCTTCTGCTGCCGGTCCCTGGGCGAGAACAGCACTGGGCAAGGGCCCCGAGGAGGAGAGAGCTGGGCGCTCGCTCGGAGCGCACGGAGGGGTTTAGTTACTGCAACAGCGAGAGGCAGAAAGTTGGTTCTCCCGCGCAGGCACAGGGCTGCATTGCACCCGTTCACGGGAGAAAAGAGGAGCTCAGTTTGTGCCTGTGACCAAAGTTAACACAGATCAGTATGGGAATGTGAGGAGAGCAAAGGCTTCGTAAATCTCTACTTCTGTTTAATAAATTAACTTAGGAAAGATCTATTTATTTGAGATATTACGTTTTAGTAACAAGACTGGGTTAATAAATAGCAACTATAACCATCCCTCAGTTGCCCGGTTAGCTGCCCATGATCTCCTAGTCATGTCCAGTGGGCTCAGAGTGCTGCACCTTAGAAAAAGACAAAAACAGTCACACAAAAAGCCTCTTCAGATGTTTTCTAAACCCACCTAAGTCAATGATAAAAAGTTTCTAAACAGAACAAAAACATGAATATTATGTTCATGATCAGAGAAGAGTGATAAATGCTGAATATATCAGCTCACTTTTCATGCAGAATGACCTGTACTACTTCACATGGTGAATGCTCTAAGATACGCACTGTAATACTGTGTTTGGTCTCCTTTCAGCTCTAGGAACCAGACTATTGCTATAACCCCTTCCCATAGCAAGCAAATTTTAATATAAAGTGAATTACACAAAAGTGGATGGATTCTGAAAGACCTCAGAATAAGTCTCAAAACTAGGTTAAAGTCAGGGGGCTGCTTTCTGACCTGTATTAACACGTGGATTCTCTGACACTCATAGAGCCAGCGTATGAGACACAGCAACCATTCTGCAGAGAACTCGCCCATCGAACGCCGAAGCCTAATGACCTCAGATGAAAATTACCACAACGAAAGGGCTCGGAAGAGCAGGAACCGCTTGTCTTCCAGTTCCCAGCACAGCCGAGATCACTATCCTCTAGTGGAAGAAGAATACTCTGACTCATACCAGGACACGTACAAACCCCATCGGACCCGAGGATCCCCCGGCGGCTACAGCCACGACTCGCGCCACAGGCTTTGAGGCCCTGGGGAGAAAGCAGCGCGCGGGTTGCTAACTTGCCATGACGTAGCTAGGAAAAGGCATCAGCTTCCCGTGGCGGGCAGCGCGGGCGCGCCGACGTCGCGCTCTGCCACCACTGGATGTCACGTAGGGAGCAAAAAAAGATTCCGTGCCCTTATGTTCACACCCGACCCTATAGGTTGTTTTTTGTTTTTAGTACATGTGCATTTATAGCTGAACCTTTTTCTCATCATTAGATATTAGACTCATCGGTTTGTAATTTTAGGGTACTTATCAAGACACTTAAAAAATAATTTCCTGTGCTGGAAATTCCAAATGACCAGTTCCAGTTGGAACCAATTTATAAACCAATTCCTGTTGGAATTTGGGTGAATTGACTGGAAAGTCGACTTGAGCATGTTGCAATCGATTCAAAAAATGCCAATGAAAAATCAGAAAATTATAGACCACTAGAAGTCAGAAAATCAGCTACAGTGTTTGTTTGCTGGAAGCTAAATTTATACTTCAAGATAGAATACAGGCATTTTTTTCTAACCACGTATTTCCAGAATGGCTTTTTCAGACAAACCTAATGTAAACTGACTGTAGTGCCAAGTGTCATAAATTGATGCAGCAGTTAGAAAATACTTTCCAGTTTGAAATTATTTTTAAATCTGGCATGGATGTTGCAGCAGGGTGATTTTTTTTTTTAGTCAAGACAGATCTGCCATTTCTGTTGTGGTCAGCAGTGATGATCTAGGATGGGATAAGGGGAAACAGAAACAGGAGAATGAACAAACTCAAGAACAGTTGGCATGGTTGAAGTTGGAGAAAAGTCGTTTATTTCTCTTGTTTACCAGAATACAGCTAGTAGTCCCAAAATGGAGCATCAGTGTATAGATATGTGGTATTTTTCTCCCATTTTTAATATTCTGCCTTTTTAAATGGAAGAGTACACTCTCCATGCCTAGTGTGCAGAGTTCCCACGTTGCTGTACATCGAGCACCCCTATGGTGCGTCTCCCCAAATCCCTCTCTGAATGTCTGCAGAGTCCAGCACCGCACAAGAATTCCCCCGAACATCAGGTCAAATTGCGGGGTGAAATCCAGGGGGTGGTTCTTAAACATTTGGAAATGATGAAAATCCAGAGTAACGTGTTGGTCAGAATGAGCTTGCAATAAAAATACAAGTATCAAAAAATACCCCTGCTCGCAGTAACGTTGCAGAGCTGACCTTTTTGATTCAGAGAACTATGGTAACTCTTACGAGACACTGCTGCCTTACTTCCTAACAAAACTTTTCACCTGCTGAGTCTTGGGTTTTTTAAATGGATAAATTCATGTAATTAGCCCTTATGTCTTACATTATCAGTGAAGCCTTAGATCCAACGTGATTGAAATGATTACCATAACCGACCATTTTATAGAACCCACGTCGGTCCTAGAGCAGCGACACCTGCCACGCCGCCCTGCATGTGTTTTCTAAAACCGACCGACTCTGCGGAACGTGCGTTTTTTATGCAGGTTCGTGGCAAAACTATTTTTTTGGAAATGAGGATTATTGATTTTTATATTTGCTTGTTTTCTTCCCAAAGCCTGCCCGGGTAGGCTCTAGAAGCATGTAGCAGTAAATGCATTTCCTGAGTATTAGGAGGTCTCCTACTTTCTGGACCCATTTGCCAAGATCACTGATATTTTCCACCACCATTGAGCCTGGTTATCTTCTTGATGTTAATAACTAGAAAAGTAATTTCATCTCATATCTGGTAAAACCAAAAATACTGAACATCTCTAGCAGCATTAGAAGATAGCGGATGCACGATTAGTTTTTGGAACAACTTTACTGCCTAAAAGAAGGGCCTTAAACATCACTAGGTGGTTCAAACGAGCCAGGTGCCAGGAACGAAAACGTTCCACGTCTGCATCCGCTGCAGGGCCAGAGTTACGAGGGGCTAGGAGAGACCTGGTCCTGTCGGGTTTTCTCAGGCTGAGCTCTCGCTGATTCCAGAGAGCATTTAGCTTGAGAAGGCCCGGCACGAGCTGGTCTGGGAATGGAAGCTTAAGCTGTCTTCTCTAATACTTTCTGCTATAGCACAGTGGAGCATTCTCCAGTGATTTTTACCAATATTTGTTACATGTACAGCACACATACCTGCATGAAAAAGAAGACATTAGGCAAAACATTTTTTTCTATAAGCTTTAATAAGTTTCTTGTTTGTGTGCATTAAAGTATTAATTGCAAAGGATGCACTGAGATGTATAAACCTAGATTAGACAGCTGTTTATCTTTATTCTGTAGTAGCATTAGGGATCAGATCATTAACTGCTTGAAGATACTTGCATTTTAACGGCAGGGAGCTGCAAAGCACCTGCCTGTATTTTCTAGTAAACGAGGTTACTGCTTTATCATTTCCTCGACAAAAAAATGTCATTTATTCCTAGAGCCTTTCGGAGCCTTGTTTTGAAGTCTTCCATGTCATGCTAGTGAAGGGAAAGACCTGCACAACACACGTGCACAAGCTCCATCAACAGCCGCGTCTCAAGTGCCAAAACTGCCCTGTTCCGAGCAAAAGCAGCTTCCAAGGGAAATCCAGGACTGTCTGCAAAGAACGTGCCGAGTTCTTTACTGTGTGGGTTTTGGTTTACTATTGTATGTAATTGGTTACCCCCTCTCCCCCACACCCATTCCATTTTAATAGAAGCAATGACTTATAAAGGATCCAGCAGAACTCCTTGCTTGGTGTTTTTTTATTCTTTGAAGATAGTTATATCTTTAAGTATAAATATACCGAATGTGCTAATAGATTATTATTATTTTATTCTAGATACAAGCTACTGGAACTCTTTCATTTTAAAAATAAATTATTTTTAGGAAACACAGTAATCAATAAAAGTTGCGATGTTGATCAAGACATGTAAACTCATAGTGTTTGTATTAGGACTTCAGCAGTGCTAGCCAGCTGTGTTGTGATTTCTTATGCCATGGCGCTATATCAAATTGTGAAGTTCCTGTACTCCTGAATGAAGACGAATAAGACGCCTTTTCTATTCCTCATGCCACTTCCTCTCGTTGTTACGATATTATTAGAGCAAAGAGCAGAGTTCCGTTCCTAAGCTCTGGCTTCTACAGAGGATTTTAGAAATGTTTATAAAATGTCAATGAGCTTTTGTTACCAGAGTTTTTCATTAGGACACTTTGGGATTAATGGTAATTTAGTCAATAAAGGTGACATGACAATCTTAATATCTGAACACAATATACTTCAGTGCATTCATATGTTTGTAAATGAATTAGCAAAGAATTTTAAAAATCTTGAAGCCGCTTGAAGGACGATTCATTGTCTCAACCTTTCAATTTATAAGTAATTTTTTTGGCAAGTCATATTTGGCGGATATACAGGTTCTCTTAATTACATAAAGGAACATTTATCCCATGGGACATGCAACTCCAAAATGATTACGTTTTCTGCCCAAGCATATTAAGGAATTTGCACTTAAAGGAACCTAACAAATTTGGGTTTAACAGTGGGACAGATTACATGCTGATGTTGGAAGCAGGTTGGATTGAGGAGGCCGGCTGCTGTGCTGGAGAGCTGCCGCGCGCCGCGGCTCTGTCCCTCGCGGATCGGCGCAGCATGGGAGCGGGCGGCATCGCGGGCTCGGTGCCCTGAGCCGGCGCCTTGCACTCGCTCACAGAAATTCCCTTTGCTCCGATAGCCAACCGTAAAATCCTTCAGGGTTTTCTTCTCCCCAGGTTTGGGTGCTTCTGCAGAGGATCTGGGGGCTGGGCTCTGTGCTCCCTGTTTCTAAAGCACCGCTTCCTGAGGGCCTTGGAGGGCAGGTAGGAGAGGAGGTGGTGGCTGCAGGCGCGCGGAGCCGCGCGCAGGCAGGAGCTGGGGGCACTTGGGCCCAGCCCCCCGAGCCCGGGGCGGCCTCAGCTCCGCCGACTCCTCTGGCCTTCCCGGAATGTCGTGTCTGTGCAGGCGTTGCCATCCCCAAACAATACTGCTAATGCTTACCTGGTATTTTATAGCCTACTGATTGGCGAGAATTAGGGCTTTCACCCTCCATTACTTTCTTTAAGGATACGTTAATTCGTCCCTAATGAAATCTGTCCTTCATTCCATAGTCTTCATTTTTTAAAGCAAAAACAATTAGTGACCATTTATGAAACAATCAGCTGCATATTGTGCATAACATAGATAAATCTGTCTTCTCTCCTAAAAATCCTCATTTTAAAATTGGGTCACGTTGCCCCAGCTGGCGTTAGTGCCAGTCTGGATACATGTATTCTGCTGCAGCTACCTCATTCCTTCAAATAGTTCTACAAGGTGTACCTGGACTCCAAGATAATGTAATGTAGCCAGCTCAAACTTTGGGGAAATGAAATTCCCACTATCTTTACAATGATGCCAAAAGAGAGTATTATTTTAAGAACAGTCATTTGGATAACCTTTATGCATATTGTTATTCAAGTCCTTTATTTTATAGTGAAAAAAGTATGTCTTTAAGATACATTTTAATAATGTTGTAGAAAAACTATATATAAGGACTTGACTTGGATAAAAGAGCTGCAAATGCTCCTTAGTATCCAAGTTTTTGCTAGTTTGGAAAAGAAATCTTTTCCCCAAGTTGTGGAATCCTTTTTACAAGCAAAGAGAAATACCCTTAACTGACTCTATGGAAAGTGCTGGAGAAAGGGAGGTAACGTGGGAACGCTAGAACCTGTCCCGCTGCTCCCGCACGCCGGCAGCGACGCGGGCGCTCCCAGGTGCTCCCAGGGCGCTCGCTTGTCCTGCCTCTCCCCTCCTGGGGTCTCAGCACTGGCCTCTGGCACTGCTCCTGCAGGCGGCTGCTGCCGGACACGGACTCTGCCGCTGGCTTCTCTGGTCGGCACCAGGTGTGACCCAAATGTCACACACGGCTGCGCGGGCGCCGTCCACATCCCCTGGAACCTGACCGACACTCCCCTTTGATACTACTGCTCTTTATCAGCAGTAGAAAACCAGTATGGTAAGGAAATATATCGAACAGTGTAAGATGATATTTTTTGCCAATGACATGAGCAAAACAAGGGAAAAAAAAAAGCACATTTCTAATAGCACAAATTTACAAGACTTCCACTGTTACATTTGGCATTGTGTTTTTTAAAAAATAGGTAGATTTTCTGAAACAATGTCAATGAATTTGCTGCATTTTCCATCACTTTGAATTGTTGCCTGATACTTCCATTTTGCATATATGATTTGCTTTTTCAATGAGTGGTATTCCTTCTATGATAACAGGAAAACAAACAATCAAAAAACACAATTAGGAAGTCCCTGCGTTCACTTGTAGTGATTTCCTCCTCAAAACTGAAATTGCGTAGAAACAAATTTCTAATTCTGGCCAATGTACAGATTTGGCATGTGCCCAATGACTGCAGTAGCGTTCGTGGCCCCGGCTCTGCGAGGCTGAAATGCTGCTTGCTGTTGTGCAGCAAGGAGCGGGGACGGGCGGACGTTACCTCTGTCACGCGAGCGCTGGGAGTCCTCCCCAAATGCACCGGCGCTGCGGAAGCAGCAGGGAGCAGCTCGCAGGCGCCCGGCTGCGCTGCCCGTGGAATCAGGCCTGATTCTCCTCCAGATGCTGCACCTGCGGGCGAGGAATCTGTCCAAGAGCAGCACAGGAAGGGAATCAAGTGAAATGCACTTTTATGTATGCACAGGATGTACAAGATGGTAAAATAATGAGAGGAAAGCAGTCACTCAAGCTCCGAGCCATGGACCTTGGGCTTCTCAGTTCCAAGACAATCCGTTTCTCAGTCAAACTAGTTCCTAGTGATGGCCTGAACGCGCCACCGCTTGGAGCCAGTTCAGACTCACGCTGGTAAAGACATTACGGCCTTTACCAAAAGAAAAGAACCTGCGTTTTCTTCCTTGCTGATTTGCCCCCGTTCTGTTCTTGCTTCTATAGATACTGTATGTGTAGCATTCTACAAGGCATGCTGGGTAAACTATACTATGCAAATGTATACAGTGTTGCATGCTTTGCTCTCCCTCTGCTTTAGTGGCTTTCAAAGAAAAAAACAAGTTGTTATTTTTGTGAACAGAACCATTTAAAAATGGAAAATGCAGACTGCATGCTTGTAGTATCCCCATTTCTATGGGTTTGTTTTATGGAATTTAGATGTACAAAAATGAACTGCATTACAATAACTTTTCTACAATAAATCAAAAACTATACAAACAGTGTTTAAAAGTCTTTTTAAAGTCTCTTTTTGTATTTTGGACTCAAAAGACTGGAAAAATCCTTGGAAGAGTCAATTAAGAACAAAATGTTGCAGAGCTGTTTGTTGTTTGCAGATAGCTTTTGGCAGCAGCTTAATGCGCTAACATTTTTTAGTAAAAATTAATGAGGTTGTGAAGAAAGAGATGCATCTGGTCTGTGGAATGAATGATTTATTTTTAGAGCTATCTGCTCTAAATTGTTGCAAATCAGAAGTACAGAAATACATATTATAATTCACTCTTCCATCAATAAGTAAAAGCCTTTCAGCCAACCAAATCAATGGGAAGATTCTCATGGATGTTAATGGCTTTTGGCTCTGATCCTCAGCTGGGTCTCTTATTAATTTAAAACCTGCTCCTAGAGAGAAACAAGCATAAAAATAGCATGCAGTATTAAGGAACGAGGGAACAGGTAAAGCAAGCGCTCTCTACAATCTCTTGCAAGCAGGCAAGGGCTGGAAGGCAGCACATTGGCAGTGCTGGAGCGAGACCCCGGGCAGCTCCCACGTGGGGTTTGGCACAGGATGCACAGAGGCCGTGGCCGAACGCAGAGCCTGTGAGCACACGACGCTCCTGCAGGCAAGCAGCCACTACCGGGGCAGCAACTAAAACTCATCCCATTGAACTAGCCTGGCTAGGCGCTCAAAACGAGATATAAAGCATGTGAGTTTTAATCTAAGCTGTTAATAAACTCCTTAAGATGTTCCAAACTGAAAAAAAGAGTTCTTTTGTCTGTTTTTGTAACTTCCTAGAAGCTAAAAGTTTATTAAGCCAGCTCTGTTGTCCATCCTCTTAATCTCCTCTCACATATTCAGGTTTCTCTATGCAGAGTTATTTCCCCTGCACTGGTGACATTGCATCCCGGGGGGCTGCGTAATCCTGCTGCAGAGCAACACCTGAAACAGCTTCCTGCTTCACAGGCACTTGCAACTGGGATGTGGGGCCTTCCATGAGGAAAGTGTGTCACTAAATTTCCTCCAGACTCCACTGATTTGACTATTTTCTTAGCAACCACCAGCAATGGCAAACATGGCATTAAGAAAGGCCCAGTAAATGTTGAATGAGGCCATAATACAAATGCCTTCAAACCATCATGTAACTAGTGGTAGGATGCCATAGATGAAAGCAATAGTCTCCTAGTCCCAAAACACACCGTGTATTCGTCTTGTAAAACGCACACCTGCTTGTACAGCCGTTGTGTCCCTGCCAACCTTGGCTAGCGCGTGGCCGCAGACGATACACAGTCCCGAGCAGTGTGACTGCGCTCTGAGTGCTGGCTGCAGCCTGCTGAGTTGCTTCGGTAAGGCACACAGCTGAGAGGAAAAATACAGGGGGAAAAAAGAATCAGTGCTCTTTTATTTAAAAATTTGAAATAAATGGTTTAACTGAATGTTTACTACCCTCTCCTTAGCTGGGCAAGATCTCTCACGCCTACATAGATCCGCAACGAGCCCACAGACTTCAGCAAATTACTCTGTGTTTACACTAGGGGCACGGGGACCAGAAATGTATCATTAGCATGTGAAAATTTCAGCGGAAGCATGGCAGAAAGAGAGGCAACGAGGGCTGCGGAGTAACTCTGTTTCTGGCTGCATGCTGAGCCAGCAGGAAGCGGGGGATTCCTTCCCTTTGCCTTTCCCATCCCGCCCAGCGCGAGGAGCCCTGGCAGGAGCAATGACACCCTTGCTGGGAGCTCAGTTCCCTCTTGCACAGCCCTGGGGACTCCTGCGAAGCCATCGTGCCCACGCAGCTGTTATCCTTCCCTGCTTGTCCTTAAGGGGAGAAAATATTTGGGGGAATATAAATAACAGAATGCTATGAAATATATTTGTGCATCGCATTTACATACATAAAGACATTTCTATTTTTCCAAAAGATACCAGAAAACAAGGTAGAGGTGGAACTCAGCAAGGAGCTGCACCAGGCCACAAAGGAATAGGTGAAAAGCAGAGGCAGGAGGTAAGTGTGTGTGGGCAGGGGAAAAAGAGGCCATGATTGCAGGTGAGAGGGCAGTATGGAAGGAGGTATCAAGGCCAATAACATGTATTTTAAAAGTGGCATCTTTTTCTTGAGTATATATACTGCATAATACCGTAAATCATAAAAAGAAGCACATCCATAGCATTCTATTCCAAATAAACAGGGATAAAGTACATCTTCACCCTTGGTTGAAGTGGCATCTGACAAAAACCGAAAAACTAGAGGAACACAATCTGATCAGCACGGTGATAACAAAAGCCTTAACATTTCAAGTTCAGGGAAGGACTGGGAGGATGTGCATACAGCCGAAACACCAACTCTCCATGCGTTTCCCTCTCCACATCCCTTTGCCCTGCTGGGAAGCGGCAGGTTCCGCTTCCTCAGAGCACCGCAGGTCTGCTCCTTCTTGACGCCGCCGACCAGCACAGTTTAAACGCAGCTGCCGGCATCCGAAAGCTGCGGGATCTCCCTGAAGCTCGGCGAGAAAACGTTCGGAGGTGCGAGCTCGCACGCCGCAAAGGCCGGTCACCAGCCACGCCAAAGAGCAAAGGTGACCGGCCCTGTCAGCGGGCAGCCCTTCCCTCGGCGCCAACAACGCGCGCGGTTTGGAGCCTTCCCACAGCCGATCCCTGTTCCTTAGGGCACAGCTCCTGAGGGAGCGATCGGATTGACACCGGGGTCCCCAGAAAGCACCGATTGTGTTAAAACACGCTGCCCGAGCGGCCGCCGCTCGCAGCAGCGTCACGCTGCCCTCATGGCGGGGCGGCGCGCAACGGCCGCCGCAACGGCCGCCGCCCAACGGCCGCCCCTCAACGGCCGCCCCAACGGCCGCCGCCCAACGGCCGGCCCCCAACGGCCGCCCCTCAACGGCCGCCCCCAACGGCCGCCGCCCAACGGCCGCCCCCCAACGGCCGCCCCCCAACGGCCGCCCCCCAACGGCCGCCCCTCAACGGCCGCCCCTCAACGGCCGCCCCCCAACGGCCGCCGCCCAACGGCCGGCCCCCAACGGCCGCCCTCAACGGCCACCCCAACGGCCGCCCCCCGCGGGAGCCCCGCCCCTCGCGTCACGGGCACACGTTACGCGGGGGCGGGGCCGGCCGCGCGGCCGCTCCCGCCCCCGCTCCCGCCCCCGCGCCGTACGGTGGCCGGCGCGGTCTGCGGGGCGGCGCGCGCTGCCTCCCTCTCGGCTCGGCGGCCGGGCCCGGCGGGGAGGAGCGGCGCGAGGCCGGCGGGCGCGGAGCGGAGCGGAGCGGCGATGTCCGTGCGCGGGGGGCGCCCGGGCCGCAGTGCGCAGCGCGAGCAGGCCCGGCGGCGCGGCCCCAGCCCGCCTCAGCGCCGGCAGGCCGGGCCCCGGGCCGGGCCTTGAGCCAGCAGGCGCGGGAGCAGGTGCCGAGCAGCGCGCGGAGCCGGCGGCCGAGGATGGGGATCCTCTTCACCAGGATCTGGAGGCTGTTCAACCACCAGGGTGAGGGCGCGGGACGCGGGGACGCTGGGGACCGCGCGCGCTGCCCCCTCCCGCAACGGTCGCTCCAACGGTCGCTCCAACGGCCGGCGCCGCCGCCGCCCGGGGGAGAAGCGGCGCCGCGGCCGCGCGGTGTGAGGGACCTGCCCGAGTCCCCGCGAGAAAGGAAATAACCGGGAAACCCACGCACTAGAAAAAGCCCCTGAGCCCCGGTACCTTCCGTCCTTGTCGGCGTTTGCCGGCTCCCCCTGCTCGCTGCCCTGCGTGAGCGGCGGCCGGGGCTGGGGGATCAGCCTGGTGGGTGTTGCTCTCATGGTATCCAGCCCCGCTTCGGGCCTCCTGGTCCAGCCAGTTTTTCACCCCCGAGGTGCTGCCTGAAACAGAAGTGCCTCATTATGTGGGGCTCAGAGCAGCAGGTGCTTTTACAACATGGAGCACTTACGGAAAGTTATTTAAAACTTGGGTTCATAGCTGACGATGTTTGGAGACAGCTCTGCAAAAACACGTGGTATCGGTAAAATCACACACAAAGAGGTCCCGCTTACCTGGCTCCTGTCCTCTTTGCTCGGTAATAAATCGATGCGAGTTGCTTTGCTCGGGTGGTCTGTAGCTTGGGCAGACGTATAATGGCTTTTTGTGGCCCTCGTGGGCTGCTCGGGGTGTGTGAGAAAACCCCCTCTCACAAAGCATTTGCTTGCATGAATGGCCCTATTGAGGCCGTCTCTGCAAGCAAAACTTGTGTAATGGAGCTGGGAGCAGGCAGCGCTCGCTCGTCCTGGGATCTGCGAATGGGAACGTGCCCGACAGCACCCGCTCTAGGAATCAGAGCCCTGCAGCCTGTGAGATGCAGGGGGAAGGTGGGAAATGGAAGCAATAACTGATGCCTGGCATGGAGCTCCAGAACCCATTCCCGTGTGCATCGGGGTGCTTTTGTGCAGCACCTCTTGGATTATCTGCAGTGGGAGTGAGCACTGTGAAATGTTACTGGGCAAATGAGCCCTCCAGTCCCAACTTGATGTAGGGAGCAGGGGATGCTGTGGGAGACAGGCGGATCACCCTAGTTATGGTGCAAATCAGCTCTCCTCTTCCTCCTTTCTTCATTTTTAACTACTTGGAATGAGGTTCAGAGGTTGTTGGCCATAATGAAAGTATGGCCTTGGGAATGAACATGTAATGTGTGTAAGAGCATGTGTTTGCAGGAGTAGCTTAGCTGCAGGGAGGAATAGGGAATGGCATCTATTATGTCTGAGTTGTGCTTCAAAAATGTTTAGAAACTCCAGCAGTGATTCCATTAGGAAATTGCTCTAGCAGTTTAGAGAAGGAAAAAACAGAATCTATTAGAAGTTATTCCTGTAGATGTGCAGACAGGGGTGATGACAGTTACTTATCTACTCGGGTATGAACTCCATTTTAGGTGTGATATGGCCCTTGAAATATGACAGCTTTTACTTAGGAAACCGGTCTAAAAATGTAACATTAACCTTGTTTCATAACATGTCTGTTACTTTCATACCAATGCTAACTAGGTGACTTACAAGTAATATTTTTATTTCAGAGCACAAAGTAATCATTGTTGGTCTGGATAATGCAGGAAAAACAACCATTCTTTATCAATTGTAAGTATAAACTTCAGATGATGTTTAATGTATTTCAAGGTGTATTTTGTGCATATTGCAGTGACTTGTTTTAGCTTTTTTCCCTGCTTTTTTTTGCTTGGAGAACATTCTGCTGAAGTTGGCTGAACAGCATAGGTGCTGATGGATCCTCTGTGTCTGTGCACAGAGTATGGAGAGGTCTGTGCTTAGGCTGCATGTATGAATAAGATTTTGTTGAGAGCTTTTATTTCTTGGATTACATTGCTGCTACTGCCTAAGTGCAGTTAGTGTCGGCTGTTTGCCAGCTATATAGAATATGATTGTATTGAGGATTAGCCACAGGTCAACAGTGTTAAACTACTCCTTGCCACAACATGTAAATATTAACAAATTGTTCCATGAGGCCTGACCCTCCTCTGCCTGTGATTTGTGTCCTACATACAAGACTTACTTGATGCAACTAGTGGTGCAGGATGGAGATCTGCAGCTGGGCACAGGATGGTGCAGAGCAGCCTGTGCTGCCTGGTCCGGGCTGTGTTTTGCACCACCAGTGGACTCCAGGTCCCTGGTAGCTGTCACCTTGTTGTGCAGCTTCTGGCCTTATAGTGGCATTGACTCATTTTATTCTATGTGAACCTTGCTTCTCGTTTATGTAGAACTTGAATGAAGTTCATATCTCTGAGTCCTCTACTGCACTGCGATAAAGGAGCAGACATTTGTCTACACACTCAGAAACATCTGGTTGGGACAGGCAGCTCAAGGTCTGTTCAAAAAGAAACAGGTTTCCAGTTTCTCACATTAAGTAGTCTGGTAGTATAAAGTATTTTGGTTCAGTAGGAGAGAGAACTCATTCTTGTCCAATCCTAAACTTAAATTATAGGTTCTTTTAGTCAAATTATGGTCTGCCTTTGCTTTTCTCAAGCAAAGCGAACTTCGTGTGGTATTTTCCAGACACTTACATTCTAGCACACAGTGCAAAAAGAGTTGAAGAAGTGAAGGTGGCTATTCGGATTGGGAGGGAGAGACTAAAAAATAAATAGGAAAAGTACACATTTTCAAACTAGTAAGTGCTGCTGCTGAGCGTTGTCATTACTGTATTTTAATGCCGCCTGGCTTTCCACTTCCTCTGTGAAAGTCTCATGATCCTCCTCCTCCTCTTCAATTTCTGCGGTCTCAGCGTTCTCTTTTCGCTTTCATGCAGCTCATGCCTGTGTGTCTTGTCTTCCTTGCTTGCTTTTTAGTCCTGCGGGACTTGCCCATTCTGTCTTCTTATGTTGCCCTTCCCTAGCTCTGTTCCTCAGTTCTTCCTACAGGCCCTTCCTAAAGCCTTACTTGCATCTCATAAATCCCTTTTTTATTTTCGGCTTTTCTACTGTTTCTTCATGGAAGATATATGTTGTGAGCAGGAGTGCGTTTAACTGTTTCTGTATGAGATGGGCAGAGATAATGAGCAGGAATAATTTGGTTAATGTCCTGGCCACCACTTTAGTGATGTGGACAGCTAGAGCAGACACTGGCGTGGTAATTCTTCTAACAGATACTGGCAGCTCTGCAGATGCTTCATTTCCTGAACTTCTCACATTCACATCTTGTCCCTCCCTGGTAGCCGTGTGATTTTGCTCTCCGGTGACTAGAAATGCCATCGTGCTTCGCATTTATCTTGTTTCAGTGAAGGGAAAAAAAACCCTGTCATATTGCAAGCTGAGAGATGCCAACACTTTGAGTGTGAAAGACTGCAAGTTCAGCCAAGGAAAGGGGATTCACGATTTGCCTTTTCTGATATCAAGAGAACTCTGCTGAAAACTGTTTTTTGATTGTTTTTGTTTTTTAAAAATCTGAAGTCCACCAAGGGCTTCCTTAAAATGCATGCTGTGAGAAGGTATCCTGCATGCTGTTGAGGCACTGGGCAGCTAGGATTGCTTTTCAGAATACTAGACTGTCCTTGTATCTCTTCATGGCTTCAGTTCTTTGCATCTTCTTCAGGTAATTTTCTGGCAGGATTCCAAGTCTCAAGTTGCTGTCACTGTAACCAAAAGCTCTGCTAAAACTCCAGAAGCTTTCCATATAAAAAGATGACTGTATCAAGGTTATTGAGGGAAAGAAAAAAAGAAAAAAAAAAAAAAGAAAAAAAAAGTTACTTGAAAATGGTTGATTTTTTTCTTGAAGCTGCTTTTAATGTTTTTGTATGTCTAGTAGATTTTAATAACTTTAACTTACGGAGTATCCTTAGGGAAAAGACGCATTTGGTGGTTGTTGTTGATGTGAAACTGGTTGTCTCGATGAAAAAGTTACACCAAGCCTCTCTAAAACAGTGCATTGTCTGTGTTCATTGCTGAAAAGCAGTGTAATTGGACTATATAGAACAGAAAAGAGAAGAAAGTTTGGAAATGGCGCAACTGAAGGGCTTCTGAGTGGTGAAGAAAGTACGCTAAGGGAGAAATATGTAGTGTGTTTGGAGGAGTTGGATGATGAGTTGTTTTTCTGAAACCTTGGAAATCCTGTGACTTAAACTGCATTCTTAAAGAAAAACAACTGCACTCTCCCATCCTGCACTGCATGCCAATATCAGCTTGGAAAAATAAGTGACTGCTTAAATAGTTTCTGAAGCACGTGCTCTCTCAGCTTTGCAATTTAATTTTAATATAGTTTTGTTCAAAAATTTAAAATTTAATTTTGATTTATAATTTGATTGTTTAAAATAGTTTTGTTCACCAAGTCCTTTCTTACTGTTTTTTCCCCTAAACACACACACACACACACACACACACACCCCTCGTATCTATTTGCTGCATAAAGTTTGTGGGATTCCCTGTGTGAGCTTTCTACCTCCAAATAGCTGTCTGCCTGCGTTCTTAGAGAAACAGGTCAATGTGGAGTTCTAATGTGGCTGGTGGTGCAGCTAACTCGGCTGGTTTCTCATGGAGTGGGTCTCTTCCTCTCGCAGCTCTATGAATGAAGTGGTACATACCTCACCTACGATAGGCAGCAACGTGGAAGAGATCGTGGTTAATAACACCCGTTTCCTCATGTGGGATATCGGAGGGCAGGAGTCTCTCCGATCTTCATGGAACACCTACTATACAAACACTGAGGTAAGAACAAATACCTTCTTGTAAGATTTATTTTCTTCTGTCAAAGGAAATTTATTATATCTGAGATTTGCCCCAGGCACAGTTCCAGAAGATTGTGTTAACTATGTCTTGATTATTGCTGTAACTTCTGCAGATATACCAGATACTTGTATTTTGATTTCTGAGTCATAACATAACAAGATGTTGTGCAAAACCACTGTGTGTTATGCATGTAAGATGCATAATATGGATTGCAGTTAAAAACACCTTGTTTGTAGGGGATCTATGTCTCGGGATCTGTTGCCTTAGGGCAGGTGCTCAGTGTCTCCTGGTGTTGCAGATCCCTGTGTTTACAGGTTCCCTCTTGTGGACCATGAGTGCAGTATCTCTGCACAAAGACTCTGAAAACCTGAGTAACCCATCACAGGACAGACAGCAAGCCCCAGAAGTTCTTCAGAATTCTGGGAGCTCTGTCCTGCAGAATCCCACCATCGATTTACGTAAACACTCTAAGAGTTTTGAGAACCGATGTTAGCAAGAACTTTGTAGCACAAGTACAGAACTTGCTTAAAATAATAATTTAAGTCAGAGTTTCTCAGTTAATATGAACTGTGGTTTTAAAAAGGTTAATTTTTATCGTACGAAATCTTGTTTTTCTGTGCTTCACTATGAGATGCTATGCCTATATCTGCATATATGTATCTGCACTTAAAGTATGTAGCTTATGTTTTTGTGGTTGAATCTTCAGATATCATGTTGGGGTTAATATTTTCCTTTCTGTAAGGATGTGTGATAAGGAATATGTAATTATCTGAAATGCTCACTAATAACTTCTGACTTTTTATAGTTTGTGATAGTTGTTGTGGACAGCACAGACAGAGAGAGAATTTCGGTAACTAAAGAAGAACTATATAAAATGTTAGCACATGAGGTGAGTAGATACATTATTTTTATTATAGATATATATTTATTGTGGATAAGATTTGGTTATTAGTACATATTGAAGGAAGCATTTACCCATTATTTGCAAAAGTTCAGACTTAGGCCTGCCAGCTGAAAGTAAAGACAGAGCAGGATGGAGGGAATGCCTCCCTAGTGAAGTCCAAGGCAAATGTAACCGGTTGCATTCCCAGGTGCAGGTTGCATCAGAGCCATCCTTTTCCTGCCAGAGGCTCTGTCTTTTATAAAGCTCCCAGTAAACTCGTAAATTAATATGGAGCTACTGAAGTGAGTTCCTACAAAAGTAGCTTTTTACCTTCTGAGTGCTTCAAAGAAGTAGGAATTAGGAGCTAGAAATGACTTCTGTGCCTTTGGTCCTTCAGCTTGTGTTGTTAAAGACAGGTTACGGGGCTTCACCTTTGGTCCTGATGTGCCTGAGAGCTTAGGTTGTCCTGTGTCTGCGGAACAGAGGCTCTCATGGCGAGAGTGAACTGTTCAAGCCCTAGTGCAATGCACTGTATCAGGGGATGTAGTGTACTCGAAAGCAGTCATGCTTTTGAATTCTAAACAACATATTAGAGAATTAAAAAAAACTGTTCTACTGAAGTCATAGAGCAACTGACAAGAGTTGGCATTTGGGTTTTTGAAAGATAGCACCAAATATGCTTCAGTTCCCCCTCTGCCCTTTCCTTGTATGCATAGCTATTTACTGGTAGCAGCAGCAGGAGTGAACTGAGCAGATTTTCCTGGAAAGCTAAATAAACTTATGCAGTAATGGCCAGGTAATAAATGCATTAATTGCAGAAAAGAAAAAGGCAAAAGAGAAATTCTTAAAACTGAATGAGACAGTTCAGTTGTAGTAGCCATAAATATTTTTGGAATTACAAAATGAAAGTATAACCTGCAAGCTTGTAAACACTGCCTTTAAATTTGAGCTCTGTGTCAGATCTAAAATTGAGCTAGCTCTGATCCTGATTCATAACTACTGCACTTCTTCAGTGTGTAAGTCAAGGAGCAGCTATTGCATGACATTGGACTCCTTCATGAGACCTTATTGTTAGTAATCTACTCGTGAAGTGCAGCAGGACTAGAGTCTTGATTTTATTTATTTTATTTTTTTACAAGGAGCAATGTTATATAAACTTGCAAGTACAAGTTTATATAAGCTTGACTACTGTTGGGACTTGCAAGGCAAACAAGTTTAATGTGAACTGGATCCATTTTTACGAAATGGTACTAAGGGCATTAAGCCTCCAAACTTAGAAGTGTCAGAATACACAGGTGTGCATGAAATGCATGGTGTTATATCCCAGAATACTACATCTATATTTAAACTGTAGTCATTCTTTAGTAGAAGTCTATAGGAAGGGCATAAGCTCTGCATGCATTTCCTTTGAGCTTTATCTTATTAAAACTTTGCTGAAATTTGGTAGCCTGTAGCCTTTTTACTTTGCATTTTCACATGGTGCTCATAAGTGGATAAATTTCAATAAAGTAAACACAATTTTAAGACAGGCTGTTCACAGGAAATGTGGAAATGAGGAGGGCAGGCAGCCTATCTTGTGCTGTGTTCTTGTGGTTAACTTGCACTGCCTTGCATTAGCAGGGCTGCTGAGGGCTCCTTATTGTGTTGTCTTGTTCTTGTTTTTCTTTGTTTAGAACCCTTCCTTGTGTTAGTGCTACTGCTCTGCAGCCCTCTGAGCAGGAGAGCTGGTGTAAAAGCAGCCGTGAAAGCACAGGGGAGAAGAAGCCCTAGACCTATAAGGGCTTCCTTGGTTGTGATGGAGAATTACAAGTGGCATCAGGGGGTTACTGTCATAGAGCCTGTTGCTGTCATTCCTCAAATTTCTGAGCTGTTCTACTTGACCTATTAAAAGTGTTAAACAAAATCTGCATGTTCTTTTTCACCATATAAAAATGAAATGTGGATGGTTCTTGGGCTTACCTTTAAATGAGGTGGGTTCGGAACTGCAGACAGGTTGATTGTCCTTGCTTTGTTGTGGGAAGTTATTTCAGTGCCCAAAAAGCAGCACTCTAACAGTAACTGTGCCTGTTCTCCACAGTCAGGATGTGTTGAATGTTCTGCTAACTTAGGGGCTGTGGTGGCATTTGAAAAGAACTTTGGTACGTCTAAAATGAAAGTGAAAGTTCAATATGTTTTTAGAACAGCTTTTCCATGAAATCTTTGATTTCTACGAACCAACTGAATTACAGTGCTTTTTATGGCGAGTTCCTCGGGTCAGTTTCAACTATTCTGTGGATCGCTGGGAATTAGTTTTAGTGTTGCTAAAAATTAAAAATTCAGTATAGGTGTATTTAACTGAAGGGGAAGACTTTTTTTTTTAAGAGGGACTGATTGCCAGCAATGAGTGTCTGTTCTAGTGTAGTTCAAAGCAGCTTGAGATGAAATAAATTTCCCCTAGAACTGCCATTCTCTGAATTCTGCTAGTACTGCTGTTTGAAGTATTGCTTAGTCCATAAAGAGGCATTTCTCTGTCATGGGATTGTTCATGTTTTGATTCCAAAACTCCATGTTTTGATTCCAAAATCACTATGATGATTTTTTTAAAAATTGGTGCATCCAGTACATAAGCCGCTGCTATGGCTGGCCTTGCGCTGTGCCCTGGGGAGCCGTGGTGCGTCCTACCTGGTGGAATCTCCCTCGCCGCAGCTGCTGTGTAGGAAGTGCGGGAGGGCTTGGCCAGGCGTTCCCGGCGTTTGCAGTGCCCTGCGCGGTGAGAACTGCCCCACAACGAAGTGCCCTGGTCCTACGGTCAGTCTGGTGAAGACGTCTTTGTGTCTTGTAATGTGGTGTTCTTGATAAAAGCCAGACACGGCAAAACGCCGCAGCTTGGCTCTTTGGGATCCAAAGGTGGGAATGTCGTGCCAGGTCAGGGCTAGCCAGAAGACCTCAGCTGTTATGCAATGTATGGAGTTACTGTAGTTGCGTTCCCGGTCGCTGGTCCCTGCAGAGCTGTAGGGTACCTCTGCTCCTCCTGAAGGCAACAGAATAATGCACGTGGTGGATGTTTTGGTCTGCTGGATCAGAAGATTTTCTGAGATTAGACATGTCCTACATGCTGCCTTTTTTATAGTGCTAAGGCTGGGCATTGCCTAGTTCACTTTAATGTCCTTTGTCTCCAAGGGCTGGTTCACAGCCACCCAGCTGCAGTGGACCTTGGTTCTCGGGACCATCGGCAGGCCTGAAGCAGCTCTCTGCCAGTTGCCTTTCGAAGCGTGAGAAAGGCAGCAGACTTGATTGGAGAGACGACGTTGACCAGGGCAGGGGAAGTATCGTCTTGGCTCCTGCAGCTATTTGCAAGATGCTGATTTTTTGCATGATGATCACCTTGCACTGAGACCTTATCAGAGGTAGATGGATGTTTTGGAATTGGTCCAGTTCTAGAAGCTAAATGGGCTAGGTGAGCTAGGGTCCAGAAGCCCTCCTGCTTGTCCCTTTGATTCGGTTACCTCGTGCCGCTGTAGTTGTCACTGACCTGGGCTCTGTCTTGCCCTCTTTGGTCCTTCCACAACGGACAGGGTGCTTATGGTGAATATACTGTTAAAAATGCTTAAGGAGTCACAACTGCCTGTGGGGAGCATTCAGGATTAAATGTCCAAGGCACTGGGGCAAACAGATGCTGTTGGAGGCGAGTAGTTTTATTTTGGAAATGAAATAGGTTTGGGCCTTGAGGCCTCCAGGTTGCAAAGTCAGAATATGAACTTCATATTCAAGTTACTGGCACCTCTAAGCATGAGAATGGCAGTGTTCCCCAACGCTCCTAAGCCAGAGTTTTGGCCTAGTTAGAGTTCTACTGAAAAATATGCTTAACTTGAGCCTTGAGATCTTATCTTTTTTTTTTTTCCTCTCCTCTTTCACTAGGACTTGAAGAAAGCAGGTTTGCTGATCTTTGCTAACAAGCAAGATGTTAAAGAGTGTATGACAGTAGCTGAAATCTCTCAGTTCCTGAAACTAACTTCAATTAAAGATCACCAGTGGCACATTCAGGCATGCTGTGCTCTAACTGGAGAGGGGTAAGGATTTACTGCTGGAGGGAGATTCACTGGTCTGGTAGATTACCTGATCATAACTGGAGATAACTTCACTTTTGTTAAACACCGGCACCTGAAACTCTGCCTATAGATCGCATAATGAGATCTAGCAGTGGTAGGAGTTAGTTGATGAAGGAATCATTTCCAAAAGTCAGAATTACGGAGATCTTAGGAAAAGTTTAGTTATTGTTCTTGTTCATATAAGTTGTTCATATAAGACCCTTTAAAATTATCCTGAGGAGTGTATGTATTCCTTAAAAATTGTAATTATACTTATCTTTGTTTGTTGACAGACTGTGCCAAGGACTCGAGTGGATGATGTCAAGACTTAAGATCAGATGATTTTTAATGACTTGTTTGCACGGACGCTGCTTTAAAAGAAAAAGAAAAAAAGCTGTACCCATGATTACCTTGACGATGGCAGAATTAATGGGTTAGATGTATTTATAATGAACTGATTTCAACTTCATTTTCTACATAGATACAAACAGTTATATAAATTAAGACCATTTTGCAAAAAGACGAACGCAGTTGATGGCTCCGGTTTCGTTTCCCCTTTTTTTTCCTTCTCTGGTGTGCATGTAAGAGCTGTGATCAACCTTCATTCAAGATACAACCACTGGGAACAGTCTGATGCTGAGCGTGGTGAAGACGAAGTGAGAGGAAGGAGCTTTTAATTTTGAGTTTTATTATTCCATTGTAGTCCTCTCTAGTTGAAGATGTTGGCTTCATTATTCCAGTAAATTAGTAAGCAAATCAATGGCATAGATATCAACTTTTCAGTATTTTTAAAGTTACTGATGTTACAAACGCAAAAATATTTTCCTGTATGTGTACTGTACATATTTGTGTATATTTATACCTCAGTTTTAGGTTAATTGCAATCTGTTCAGACCAGTATGTAAAACTGAATCAGTATGTTGACAATAGTACTAATATTTGACATTTCCAACATGTCACAGCTTCTTTTCCTTTGTTATCTGTATAGCTGTAATGTCCATCAGACAGTTGACTCACTACAACTTTATAAAGCAAACTCTGTCTTAAGACAATTGCTTGTTTCTCCCATGATTTTTTTTCTCATTAGGAAAGATGCCATAAAGGATTGGGAAATATGGATTGAATTTTAAACTATAGTATCGGCAAGCAACAGTGGAAAATTTGCCAGTTTAAAGCAAAAACATTTTATTATAATTGTCATTGGATGGGATGACTTCAAAAAGTGCTTGTCATCCTATTCTGTGCTACTGCTTTTTATTTTCTGCAGTAGGTGCTTGCTTATGATTGAAGCCTGGTAGAATTTCTTTTAGATTTCAGCTTTCAGTAAGGGAAAAATGTTTTTTTTTGTTTTTGTTTTTTTCTCTCTCAACCAAAGAAGAGACATGAAAATATATGTAAAAGGCCCACTGAAATCTTACCAAACTAGTCTTGCTCTGTATTAAGTATTTTTCAGAGGAAGAAGCACTCTTCTCTCTCTGATATTCCAAAATGTGTGTGTATATATATCTGTGTGCAGTGGCTTGAGCTGGGATGGGCAGGGAGCACACATAGTTTACACTACTGGAAAAGTGATGGTTCCACAGAAGGTCCTGGTGGTACTTCTTGAAATAACTCCTTGCATGATCCCCAGGTGAGTTATTAAAGTGTCACAACACTATGTGATTATCTTTTCTCACCATCTTATTTAGTGGGATGGGTGACCATATGGAATAAGTTTGAAATGATCATTTTAAAGGATAATGGTTTTTTGGTAGGATGAAAGTTGGATGATTTGAATTATCAGTGTTGTGAAAGTGTATAAAGCCTTAATTGCAGACTTCTACGCTTGAGATGTGTTTGAGGAGTATCGTAAAATGAAATAAAACTTTGTTTAAAATGTCCTTCCCTTTCTTAACTCGTGAATTTGATAAGGATGGAAAAGACATTTTAAAGAAAAAGCTTAGTTTGAACTTTAAAGTGCTTACTGACAGCTTGTTGTTGGTTACGTGCTAATGTCATTGGTCTACTTGCTTTTCTGGGGATCATGTTGTGAATTTGTGGAGGGGCAACAGGGAAGACAATTTAAAAAGTCTATATTTAATAAAGGCAGGTAAAGAATTCAACTTTTTAATATATTTTTGGTATCTATTATGTTAACGGGTTAGGGGATCTGGTCTCTTTGCTAAAACATTTTAATGTGTACATGCATATATTTATAGAGCATGCACATAGATGTTGGTGTTTAACTCATGTGTTGCAAAATGTATGTTTGAAGAAGTAATTAATGCAAAGACTTTTTCACTTTACCTGATGGTATCTTCAAGAAACAAGTTCTGTGCACACCTGCATATAAGACCACATTGTACGTTTTATAGTCTTAAATGAGATTGGCTTATTAACCTAAGTGTTGAGTTTTGAGTCTTATGTCTTCCGTCCCTTTAAAATACTTCTGTAGTATTTTTAAAATCTGTATTTTGCCGGAGTGTGTGCAGGTTTTGTGCCTGTGTGTTAAGCAACGAGTTGTTAATGGAACAAAAATCATGGAGCAGTGTTCTGAAACCTGCTTTCTGCTGGAATTTGTTGCTTGCTCCCTTGATTAAATTTTTAGGAGTTGGTTTGTTCATATCATGAAAAATTCATGTTTTTTTTTTCCAGGTATGGCTATGTTGCAATAAGGTATTCACTGCTTACTCTCACCTGCTTTTCCCTCTCAGTATTCTGGCTATTCTGCTTTCTATGACCTCTGCAATACTGCACAGTCCATTTAATTTTTGTTTCACAAGTGGCAAGACCCTAATGGGAGATGGGAGCAGCAGTGTGCGTGGAAGGCTGCTGCTAAAGCCGTGCTTTTTATGCCTTGTAGTGCTTATAATCCAAAAAGCAGTTAGAAGATAGGAGATCTGAGCAGAAAATGTTAGAGCCCCGATGAGCTGCCTGGATGGGCACATGTCCTATCGCAGGTGATGCTGGGGCTGCCTCTCTCCTTGGCAGCACCAAGGAGGTTGGAGGGAAGATGTCCTGTTTTGTAGCTAGAGTTCTGTAGCACCAATTCCGACCGCAGCATCACATGCCTGTGGTATTCCTGTTTGGGCTGCAGTAATCGATGGAAGAAATCTCTTAGTTTTATTATTATTATTATTATCATTATTTTTCTGTTAAGTGCTATTCTGCTGTTCCAGAGAATGATGGATTTTGTCTGTGGTATCTGGGTGGTGATGCTTTGTCCTCCCTCTTGGTAAACGGGTGACAATCCAAATTCTCACCTTGCAGGACTGACTCTGCTTGAAGGTATGTGCAGGGATTCTCTCAAAAGAGAGTAAAAGCAAAGTATTTGCTTCCTTATTTTGCCCAGAGAAATTTCTACAAAAACTCTGCCTGAAGATATTCATGAAAACAAAGGTATTTACTCCAAATGCTAAAGAGATGATCATTAGCAGAATTTATAAATATGTCGCCACAGGTGGTATTGTAGCTGAGAGGTCATTTTCTATACACCTTGCCTTTGGTTAGCTGAATTTTTGTTTTTATTTTTTTTAACTGAGGCACTTGGGAGACCTGGGGAAGAGTAGAGAAACTTGTGAACAGACAAGCCCTTGGTTTATGTTGTTCTCCTTTACAGCCCTTTCTTTTCCCCTTAGGACAAGTCACTCTCTTTTGCTTAACACTGTGAATAGTAAAGGAAATTTAATGTTATATCAGTGCTATTTTCAACTCATTCACTAACAGTTTAAATGCCACTGTCTTAACAATAACCCATGAGTTGTTAATTTGTGTTGCTTTGGTGTTTTCATCCTCTGTGTGTCGTGATGTCTCAGCTTTCAGCTAAAACTGAAGATCTCTTACTGCCTTGCTCTTCAGATAATTCACCTTTAGGGTATTACATGGCAAAGAGATAGCTTCCTAAAAACTGAAGTTGATGCTGCAGGGTGCCGTTTTACAGGCAGAAATAGAGCAGCAAATCATGTATTTCAACTCGCACCCGAGGGCGCATGTGAGTGCCTGGCAGGCACCCGGTACAGTCTATGCAGCCCAAGTGCCTAACAGTGACCCAGTCATCACTATGCCCTTTGTATAGTACAGTTTCCATTTTGTTTAAAAATAGATATATTTGTATAGAAGCATCTAGCTGTGTTTAAATGAGTATTCTTTCCCTTCACTACTACCAGTTTTACCTGATTTATGATAAATTTATTTTTTACAGTTCTTTAAGCTTTCTACTGTCTACATTCCAAGCACTTTACCATTTATCCAGCATTATATAGCTAGCTTCCTTTGTGAAAGGAAATGCTAAATTTATCCTTATAACAGATGGGTTAACCAGAAATCTTTTCAGGAAGCTATATTTGAATAACTCAGTCCAAGAATACTTGGCCTTGTAAGCTGCCTCATATAAGCAGTTCCTTTCCAATTGGCTAACAAAACATGAACTTTGCTACTCGCAGGCAAATTCTGTCTGCAAAATATTTTTATTTCAGCTCATTGAAATGAATGTAATATTAAGCCTTTAAATGATGTGTTATTGAGCATGATAGGATGAGAGTGGTGTGATGTTACAAAGAATGGCACTAAGGAAGAAAAAACGTCTTTGCATATTGTGATATGTGTTATAAATACAAATGTGACTTGAATATAATTGTTGCAGTGACTATATTAAACATAAATACGTAAGAAATTACCGGTGGTTGCCATTGTAACTTTTTTACAGTGTTCTGTAGAATCACAAGCAGAAATAGTGTTCTTGCCTTACTAGGGTTTATCAGTTAAGTTTTATAAATGCTGTTATACAGAAGCAATTTTTGGAAACTTTCTTCTCATCAGGGACTGGCCGTTCCTGGCAGCAGGACTGTTCATGTGTGCCAGCTGGGCCCTTTGGGTCCTCTTTCTTACGAGTAGGCATATCTTTTCTTAAGCTTTTCCAATCTGTAAATTTGGAGGACTTGGCTGATGCTGAATTAACCTAAAATGTTGCTTTACCTAGAAGGTTATAAATCATCCTCTGTAAAATATGAGCTCAATGTTACTTTCATATGAATGCTTCTTGTATCCAACACTGTGAAGGGGAGAAGGGAGGAGGCCAAGGAAAGGCTTTGTTCTCCTGCAGATAGATTCAAGGAATAAAAAACAGAACCCAAAATGCAAAAGCAGAAGCCTTTTTATGGCTGATAAATCCAAGATTGGTACTGTGTGATGGAGGAATAGCAACTGAGCCTGTTAAAGCTGTCCGTTTGGATAGTGCTTGTTTTGAATGTCTTCAGCATGTCCTCAGCTGTTCCTACCACAGCCTTTTCAAAGCTGTGAACGTGCCAGTCTCCAGTCCATTCCTAAGGGGTGTTCACTGCTCCACTGGGAGTTTGCAGATCCCCTTCTCCAAGGGGGAGAAGTGAGCGGGTCTGGGGGAGCTCTGTCCTTAGGCTCTACCCAATTCTGGATTACGATACTAATCCACAGCACTCGCCCTGGGATTTTGGGAGCATAAAGTAAAGATCTCCAGATCAGTACAGTAAGTTAGCTGCATTATTGTATATTATCCAGCTGCTTTTTTTATAAATGCAAAGTCATGTCCTTTTGTGTATGTTAAACATATGACCAAGGTGATATTTATTTTGATCTTTTGTATTTTATATGCCACTTTCTATAAAGCTTGTCATCGTCTTGAAAGAAAAAGAAAAAATATGGCTAACACTGTTGCTGCAATAAAATTTCTTTCCATAACTTCCAAAATTTTGCTTAAAATCAATACTAAGACTTGTGAAGGCTAACTTGTCCTGGCTTGGGCACTTCTGAGAATTAAATTTTAATTATGTTTATTAATGTAGCTAAATCTTTATAAAGCTATCTATTATAATAAAGTTAAACTATGATTATATTAAGAAAATATTGTTCATTTAGTAAAAGTTCTCTTCAAAGAAAGCTGAACTTAGAATTTTACTCAGTCTAGTTTTTCTAATTCCCGTTCAAAGAGGTGAAGCAAACACCAGTTTATCAAGAGTTGCCAGGGAGAACTGGAGGAACTGTATCCAGTTGTGTGCACAGTTCTATGAAACTTCAGAAGTGCTAATTCCTGAAAAACACATTTATTGTTGAAAGATGAAAGCACTTGCTATTGTACTGTGTGAAGTGAGCCTCTCAGCTGAGGGACTGCAGGTGAGTCCCGCAAAGGAAAAAAAAGGGAACCGAAGCTGTTTCGAAACCCAGCAGCGTGTGCGGGCACGGAGGGCTGTCGCCTGGTCCACGTGTGTCCTGCACCTTGCTTTATTTCCAGCTGCAGCAGCTCTGCACGGTGACCCTGCTGCAGCAGCAACTCGGAGGAAACCAAGCAGCCCCTGGGCAGACGCTGCTGTTGTCGAGGTTTGAGGAACGCAGTAAGTGCGGCTGGGCCCCTTTATTCTGGCACTGTATTGGAATCCAATTCCACATCAGCTGATTTTATTTAAAAAAAAAATCCTTGTCAGATGCTTTTTGTCTGTTTAATACAAGATTTCTCTGAAATATTTCTCAGGCCCTGTATCAGGTGGTTGCCTTGCATGGTGCTGTCTGATCTTAGTGTGTAGAGCCCCTCTGTGTTTGAGGACATGAAAAATACAGACATATATATATGTGAAATATTTCTGAAAGCTTTTATTCCAGCATGATTTTAGAGCTAAATACCTTCATTCTTTCCATCTGTGCACAAGAAATTGTTTGCTGCTGCTAAACCCCAACCACTTTCCTCCTGCATCCCACAGCTGAATGTTCTGTGGGGACTGGATTTGCTGAAGTGATCCTTGGGCTAGTCATTAGTATCCATTATGTGAAACTGTAAATAGACTTTTTAAAATGAAAATACTGTGTTGCTTTTTGCCTTTTTTTCCACTTGACCATTTGAAAACTAAAGACTGTTGTATTCTATTTAATTGTTCTGCTTTTTTTTAATTAAATATAACACCTTTTACATAAGTTTTTGAAAAGTACAGGTCACACCATTGTTTTGTTGGTCTCTACTTTCTACGGTCTCTAACTTTCTTTCCATATGTGACACAGAGCTCTTGAGTAGGTTGCAGATTCAGATACCAGACAGTCATTAACAACAGGAAGATTAAGAGCTGTTTTTAACTCTTTTGGCCTGTCTTGATTTTTGCCATGATCCTTCACAACTGGAAAGGTTCTCCCCCTTCCATTTTCCTCCAGAAAATTGTCTAAATACTTTGTACATAAAGATACCGTATAAATACTGGTACTGTTGAAGACTTGCTTCTGAGGTCCTTGTACTGTTGCATCCTATATTACCTCTATGTATACCTTTAAAACCGGAGATAACGGCTGCGTATTTGAGCTGTGTGAGCAACTAATAAACATTATTTGTACTAAGTTGGCACAATGCTTTACCTCTTGATTTTTTTTAAACCGCCCATACTGTTTTGGTTACGTGGTAGGGTTTTATCCCACCATGTACGTTTTGGGCACCTGGTGGGTTTTATCCCACCAAACTGTCGGCTGCTCCATGGGGGCAGGCCCACCTTGGACAGCGAGTCTTCCTGAGCCCTCGTGATGTGGATTTCCATGGGCTCTTGGAAAATCCCAATGTAACAGGCACTAACTGGCTCATTGTCTCAATGCTCTGTCAACTGAGTATTTGTTTTCTTGAAGGGCTTTAAATAATATATTGGACAACATGTGAGTACGCATGGTTTTGCTTGCGGGGTGCTATTGTCAGCAGTGTATATATATCAGTCGGTAATGGGATCCCTGCAGAGGCTTTCTATTCCAAGATGCTGAAAATTTTGTAAAATGTATGGTGTAGTGAATAAGCTGGCTGAAAAATGAAGGGAAGCCTTGAACTTTACTTGATACACGAACATTATCCGTATCTCCCTGCCTCCTCCCCTTTTCCTTAACACAAGCCTCAGGAGCATGAGGAGCGTGTTTAGTTTTACAGAAGTAGGAGGAGGCTACTTTCCACAGCTGGACTTTCAGTTTTGTCTCTCTGCAGAGCCCCTTCTGTATGCACTCACCCTGGAGAGAGATCAAAGCTGAGGTGAGGAAATAGTGAAAGAAATAAGCTGTCCCTGATCCCCTGGTCATGCCTGTGCCTGCTCCTGTGAGTGGTTTGCAGGACCCTTCCACGATATCTATGATGCTGGATTTTTGCACGCTTCTCCCCTGCAGAGCATCATCCTGCTCTGCTTAAAGTGGATCCGCACAAAATAGCACAGAGATTACATATGTAATTTGGGAGAAACTCTCTCGCTGGAGTTGGAGGGTATTGCGTCCTCACCGGAATCCTTTCTCACTTGTTCAAAAGGTCCAAACAAGGCACTGCTAGTGGACTAAGCAGTATATGTCATGAAATTGCACGAGGAGAGCCTTCTCAATGATAATTATACTTGGAGAAAAAGAACTTGCCTGAGTCTCTCTCTCTCTCTTTTTTTTTTTTTTTTTTTTTTTTTGGCCAGTTCTCCTTGACCCAGCAGGTTTAGGAGGCAGGAGCAGCTGTGTGCTGCAGGGTCATCCACATGTGATTGGGATGAGTTTTTGCTCAAAAAAAGCTCTTTTCCTGTTGCAGGTTTCCATCACATTCCTTTTAGTTTCATTGGTAATTTTCTGGCTTAGGGAAGACAAGGCAGAATGGTTTTTCTGTTCTGTCTTCAATAGTTTTTCAGAATAATAGAAGAAAACATATACATTTGTCTTCTGAATTTCCCAGATGCCCTATTTTGCTTTTTTAAGATGTATGCTTTTAGATTTAGTCCTTCATAAAAACTCATGAAATCTTCTTATTGCAGTGAAGCTCTTGAGGCAATATTTACTCACCAGAACAAGGGCGATTTCTAGCTCGGTTTAGAGCAGAATCTGTTCACTCTGGTTTAATCCATGTCTCAAAATTCTACACGCAGTAAGTTTTTATCTTGAGTTTTCCTTTTGGTAACTCATTCCTGGTGTGTGTGTGTGTTTAAGTTAATCACAAGTACTGTAATAATTTAGCTCATGAAAATTCGGATTTATGAGCTGAATTGTTCTTTTTTACCGATGTGACATAAAATGAAGTTTCTGTGGTGTTTGAGCAGGGCTGCAAGGCTCGTGCTGTTGAGTCTGTACAGGGTGGCTGCTGCCTCTGCAGCCGCCGGCCGCTGCTTCAGGGTTGCAGGGTCTGTGTGCTGCCTTCCTCCCATTTGGGCTCTTGAGCTCTCTGCTCGCTTCCAAACCAGAGCGGGAGGCAGGAAGGAATCCGCTCGATTAGACAGAGTGGCTGCTTAGACCAGTGGGTTTTACACAAGTTCCTTATACAATAATTGTGACGCATTTCACCTGCTGCAGCCTTAAAGCTTACATTATAAATGCAAAGCTTTTGAATAAGTGTGATTTTGAAGTTATTTCTTTTTTGTTCCTAAGTAAGTGGCTTCCAAGTGTGTTCAGGTATGTGCATGTGAGAGGCCGGGTTGGGGTTTTTAGGTTTTGGTAGCAGCAAACCAAGCCCCTCATGGGTGGTGAATAGAGCTGTGCTGGC